GAAACACTGTCTGTAAATCTTTCCACATCTGTATGACAAATCATGTGTAATAGGAAGCTTTTCAATATAAATCATCACTTTTGTTTAGAAGTTTTTTTTGCAGCCGAATCTGCCGTAATTGAGACTTAATTGCACCTTTTACGGAAAGGAAATGCTATTTAAGTTGCCTACAAGTTCTATTAAATGTACAGGGTGTCCCAAAAAAATGTGAACACTGTTTGATCATTGATAACTTCCTTGCTTCTATATCTTTCGCCGAGCTTGAGGCACCATTCTATAGAGCGAGGTTCAACTTAGATTTGTAGTATGGAGCGAATCACTGATCGCTCTTCATTACTGTAGGATTACGGTGGGAACTTTGACAAGGATTTTAAGCCGTTGAAAGCTGTATTCTGCCTCGGAACAAAACCAAACAAGCCAAAAACTTTTATATATGGGTAATGGAAGCCGCTGAGTTCGAATATGAAGTTTCCACTTCACTGTGACGCTTCTTTCCAAGGTTATCCCACGTAAACCTTGATAACCGAATTTCCAGCATTTGTCAAAAATGCAATTACACCGTCAAAAAAGCTAAAAACACTCGTAAATAGTTGTGCTATGGAATCAGCGTGCGCGAAAACCTTAGTAAACGATTTTTTAGATTATCTGAAAAAAATTCTGTCAAATGGCATATTTCACAATAGACCCACATGCCAGAAGTTCATACCGTAATCCTGCAGTAATGAAGAGCGATCGGTGATTCGCTCCATACTGTAAATCTAAGTTGAACCTCGCTCTACGGAATGGTGCCTCAAGCTCGGCGAAAGACATGAAAGCAACGGAGTTATTAACGATCAAACAGTGTTCACATTTTTTTGGGACACCCTGTATGTCTCTAGCGGCGGCGTACCCAGGATTTCCGTTCGGGGGGAGGGGGTTGGGGAGGCAACAAAAAGTTTTTTTGGATGAAGGTGCGTGGCGTCAGTCACGCACTCCGAAAATTTGTTTGGGACGCTTCCCGAAATTTTTCCGGGACTATAACCCGGAAATTTGAGGAAAAGGGACGTGGCGGCAGCCACGCCTCAAAACTTCGTTACATGGCTAATTGATTTTAAAATTTTTAGAAATTCTTTTAGTTGCTTACAAGTGAAAACAATTCGTTTGCACATTTTTGTAACAAACGTAAGTAATTTTCAGAAATTTCGCTAAACACTCGGGGGGGGGGGTCGGCACAGACATGGTTCTGCTTCTGATACTACGCCCAGATTTTTTAAGCACGTGCTGAAAATGAGTGGCACCATAGAAGCAAAAATCACAAAGAGTCATTTGATCAAAAATTAAAACGGCTCTATCTAACTGGTAACTCTAAAAATGAACTCTGCAAACAAAAAAACACGTATATGGTGCAATTACACATTTTCCAGAATGGGGTGCGCCTGAGACCTCACTGTTGTTTCTAATGTAAGCTTTTCTTAGCTTCTGCAAGATCGTGTTTGATTAAGCAAATGATCGCAATCTGTCGTCAACATTTTAGAAACTCTGCATTGCACACATCATCAAAAGAACTGATTCAGTTGTTCCTGCATTTCTTTATATCTACTGTATTTAAAAATGAGGTAGACGTGGTTAAAAAAACAGGTCAAAGCGGGAGGTGGCATTGCAATTTAAGCTTATCGGTTGTTTTTCTGAATTTTCCCTACTAATGTTCCAAGTTGCTCTAACTATCATTTCATCGCAAAACTTTTTTCTAAGCAATTTGCCAAATATAGTAGAAGTAGTTCCACTTTTACTAACTGATGGAGTTTTACCAGCGCTGAAATTGATGCCGCTCTTTAGCCAGCTCTCATATCTAATATCTTTGCAAATTGCGGATCTGGATGAGATTTCCCGTCTTTTCTGACTACAGAGTGTTCGCTGAGTTTTCGTCATTTGTCACTGATGAGTTCATAGTGTGCGATAAGTCACTTAGCAATCGTTGCCAGTGTCGATTGGCTTTGAAGGTTGAGAGCGCACTCTGTGGTGAGGAGTCGATTGCTGTAGTGTTTATTTTGAGCTCATAAAGCTGCACAGCTTAGCACTTTGCAAAGGAGCGAGTTGGGGGACTTTTCCAATTTTTGAGCACACTCTCTGTGGGCCTTCTTCATTGGGATTTCCTTCCTTGAATTAGCGAACATGTTCTACTTGAAATGGTAAGAGCGTATAGGTTTGACTTCACGAGATTTGTCTGCCTTGGCTTACACGATTTTTTTTTGGTAGCGACACAACTTCTAGGACGATTTCGAAATCGATTTCGTTCTATCTTCTTTTATGTATTTTATTTTCAAAGTTTAAACCTTGATAGTGAGAAAAGTCCTTGCTTCATATCGTACATATTTCTTGGAGAAGCATCCCTTTTGAAGCGAAATGCAGTGCAGCTAGTCATGAGCCCTTTTCGCCTCCCTTCCAAGTCATCCTGACAATCTTGTTTTTATGACTTCACTGAGTGAATTTTGCTACGTGAAAGCACTTAACATACTCGAAAAAGTTTATGGCAAATTTCTTTGTCTCTTCCAACCTCTGCATGTTCGATAGTTCATGCTTCAGGAGTTAAAATAAGAAAAGAAATCCTCAATCTGTTTATTCTTTCAATATGATTTGCTAAGTTTTTTTTATTTTCCTGTTTTCTTGCTTCTATTTTGGTTAAACCGCTCTAGAATATAAGCCGAACTCCTACGTGATGTCTATGAACATGTGCTTTTTATAGTTTCTATAGTTTTTTGATCTTCAAGGAATTCTTCTCTATAACTCATAATTATTTTATTCACGTATAGGGCATTGCTTTCAAGGCATTTTAGAGAAAATTGTCTTCAAATCGTAGTGCAATTCTTCCACTTCTACTTCTTACAAAAGCAAATGACAGTCATAGCAGTGCAGAGAGTTTGTAGCCATTGAGTAAAAGTTGCGAAGAAAGGCTGTAAAGGTGCTACAAAGTATTATCGAGCTCATTTTCTAATGTCTTGAAGGATAGCAGCCTCACGTACATATGTCGTATTCTATCTTCAACCCATCGGAATTTTCGCTTTATAACCTTTTTTGGTTATTACATTATTATGTGAAAGACTTAGAAATCACAGTTTTCCTAATTATTTGAAAAGATCCTTCCACGTATTCTTGCAATGCATTTCTCTCAATTCGACATCGCTCTAGCGAGACTGATTAGGTGGAACAAAATTCCGCGCAACTAATTTGATTTGACGCATTCTGCTGCGTTTGATGTGATATTTTGTGAAACGGACGACGAAAGAATTGAAGAATATTCTAATGCAATTAGTGCCCCGACGAATTAGGAAGAAATGCTGCAGATCGTTGAAATTTTCTTGCCTCCTCTTAAGGATATCTTTACGGTTGTCTCAAATATTGCGTGACAGAAAAAAACGAAGTCTTAGTTGTTTTAGCGGGGCATAAGGGCCAGAGATGCAAACTCAACTGCGAACTCATAGCTCCGCATTTGAGGATTCGTGATTGTCTATCTCTAATTATATACACTAAGGATACCGTAACTTCGCTACCGTAATGCGAAATGTGGTAGTGGAATGGGTAGGATTTGTCAGCCTAGTATGGTTTAGTGCTCTAAAAATCACTTTGTTCGTAGATGCAAAACTGGCTGAGTTGGGATTGGGACAGAAATGAAAAAATCAAGATTTTTTCAATCATACTGCAGCCTCGTTGGGTTTACAGAACTTTATGCGCTCACCACGATGCTTGATCTATTTATTTATTTATTTATTTGATTACAATGCGCGGCAGCGAAGACGATGAAAGATGTCCTGAAACATGACGCAAAGAGAAAACAAAGCCCAGAGTTTAGTGCAAGTCCACTTATTTATTTTCTTCCAAATGTTACAATTTCTGTTTTGGACTACGATTCGTCATACTCTCTCATCAATCGCTTCTTATTTTTTGTACAAAATACGAATCTGTGGATTTTACTGCACAAGATCATATTCATTGTTACGTAATCCTCATTCGTGTCATTTACGAGAAATATGTGGATCTCGACTATGTTCTTTTGTTTCAATCAATCCTCGAACACTTTTCGCGAGAAGCATTACACATCTTTCTTGAAGCGGTGTTGTTGTTGTTTTTTGGCTGCTCTATTCTTCTTATTCTGATAAGAACAATTAAAAATTATGTTGTTTGACGCTAAACATGCTCTTCAGTGCTTCTTACGCTTTTCCAAAAAATTGAACGTATCTTCTCCCTTCCTTCAGTAGAAAAAAGTTTTAGAGGCAGTTTTGCGAGAAGCAGCTGTTCGCCATGATGTCAGTAGCCGTTTTTGCTGGATTTCTCTCTTTGCAAACACTCTCGCGACATGTTGCGAGGGTCGAGCAGCTGTTGCTTGTTATTACTTTGTACAGTTACACTTTATTGATTTGTTCTGTGCTTTAAGGCAGTTCAGGTAAATCTGGGTACTTGAATTTTGCACAAAGAAAGTGATTAGGAGGCCTTAACTGACCCAATGTTCAAGTGGCAGCTCATAAGGTTCATTAGTAGTCGAGAAAATCGACTTCAAATCTTTGCCCACTACCGTACTCTGGGGGACTGATATCCGCTGAAAGCGACGATCTGGGCCGGAGTTCAGAATTGATTTTTTTGGAAACGAAAGAATTTTCTGTGCTAGCGTTTGGGCAATGGCCTAGCTAGAACCTTCCAAAAAATTTCCTTGTAAGAAGTCCCCGTACTCAGCTTTGCTCAGACGCTGCCTTCAAGTCTCAGGTCTTCTTTGCTCCCCCCCCCCCAGTCCAGCGATTTTTTCTCAGCGCAAATGCTTAAGAGGCCATTTTCCCATGAACACTAAAACGGGTTCGTCGTAGAATCGATTTGTAGACGACGACGACGACCCAGGTGGGGGAGGGGTGACAGTAAACGCATCAGTGCCCATTCGTTTTCCTATTCGAAGCATTGCGCATCACATTCGCCACAACTCAAATGGGCTCGCTTTTTTCCCATTGAAATGCAAGTTTGTTTTTTGTGTTTTTCAGTTGGTTCGCCGGGCTGAAGGCGAAGATCTCGCAGCTGGCCGGCATTTCCGAGTGGATGAGCCAACTCGGAATCGGAGATAATCACCCCCAACCGCCACAGCGAAGCATGGTGAGTGATGTCTTGGACCTTTGGAACCACCATCTTTAATATTTTTAAAACTTTTTTGTACTTCCATCAGACTCTTTGATTCTTCTTCTTGCCTTCTACTGCATTTTAAACAAATGAAAAAAATTTGGGTTCATTTTTGGCTACAAAATGCTGATTATCGAAATTTTGAAACCTCTTGCTTATCGTTTCTTCTAGGAATTTCTCTCATGTAATTTGCTTTAGATTTGATCCTGTCGGTGTATCTTGATACCAACTGAAATTTATAGAAAATCCTTCCGGATTAAAATCGCTCAATTTCTGCATGATTCCATCCAACTACTGTATTCTAACACTAAACGTAGCCTCAGTTTTTTGTTCAAAAAAGTCTTACCTAGGAAACGAAGCCCAAATATCATTTCGAAAAGTCCTAGATCAAGCTATATACATAATCAAAAAAAAACGTCTGTTCGGCAAGTTAAACGGTAGAATAATGTCACGATTTCTTTCAAATTTATGCTACAAATTCCTTTGAACACTATCAAGCTGCAGAGAATACACCGGTAAATTTGAATGTAAACTCGACCTATAAAGTTACCCTACTTTTTCCTGCATTCCCTTTACTTTTCTATGTTAACGACCGATTGTTCCTACGCATATTCTTAGCGCAGGAATCACATTCAACTGACAAGAATGTTTCTAGAAATCACTTCCGTTATTCTGAATGCACGCATGGGAGGGAAGAGTAGATTCTGAAAAGCATCGTTGCTATCAAAGTAATTATCACCGCTGACCAGCAGCTCTTGCTTAAAATTTTACCTCTTTTCACATTTATTCCTATATGCACTCAAAGTGTAAAAGGAGCATAACAAATCTCTGTTTAATGCAATCAACGTTCGGCATTCGTACGACATTTTTCGAGAAAATTTTTCCACTTAATGACTTTGGGAACTGCGCACTTTACCACTACCCTTTCGTTCTAAACGTTGGATTGTTTAGACCGTCTTCTTTTCAACTTGCCATGACTAAGTAAGGTTTCATCAGACCAAACTTCATGACAATTATTCAATGGCCTAAAACATCCCCAACGACAACTATTTGTATTAGGAGGAGGACATATATTAACATAGTAGCTATCCAAGTTTTTCAGGAACAAGTAAGATATAATTTGTTGATGCTTATCACACAAAATATAGGGCCTTCATCATAACAGTGGCAAGCCCATAATTGCATCTTTTTTCTTTGATTTTACTTGAATTTTCGCTTGCATACTATGTTGACCGAAAGTTCTACGCTTTGTTTTTGAAAAATTCGTAACTGCTTCCAATGTGAACTTACTTGCTAGAAAATCTCATCAGAAAGAAAAATTCGTTCAATTCTTGATTACATTTTCTTGGCTCTTTGACGACAAGAGATTCCAGGGATAGGAATACAAATAGGAGAGCCACCCTAACTCTCAATTTTCGAAAACAAAACGTGAGAAATCTGGAACGCTGCAAAGAAATTCAAAAACATTTTCTTATAGTGTACTTAGTTGCTTTAGTTTGCTTTTCAACGGTACCATGCTTGTACTGACTGATCGAGCTCCTTTTAAAAATCATGATTTTAGAGAAAAATGCGGAAAATGGCAAAAAATTATTATTGCCATTTTTGTACTTTCCTCGAAACTATTCATAAAAAATCTCAATCAGCACAAAATCGGCACTGTTAGAAACTGCAGCGTAATCTCTTTTGAAAGGAATCAGAAAATTCAGTCATGTTTGTATGTATACATCTCACCACTCATCTAAAAACACTCAACGTTTTGAAGACAACGTTGAATGATGTATCATTGTTTTCGTATGGTGCAGCGATGACAAATCAACTGATGGATGGAGGGAAATCCCAGCAACTCGTGAAATTATCCAACAACAGCGGTGGCTGGCTTAGTTGTGATGCCAGATGTCCTAGTTTTTCTTTCGATGTAACATCTGGCACTAGCATCGAAGCTCTGTACCAGTACCACGGTTATGTTTTGCAGAGATTTTTTTGCTACTACGAGTTTCATCGAAATTGAACCGCTTTCGCGTCAAATAAGTATATATTTGTCGGCGATTGTGGAATGTGACTGGATCTTCCCAACATCGCATTAGTTCAAAATGACGTTGAGAAGCCTTTCAGATTGTCTCTCCCACGCACTTTCGGTTTCAAGCTGTAGTGCGGTATAAATTGCCTCTAAAATGAGGACGTATATTGTAAAGTTTGTTTATCGTTTGCCATCTTGGGACATGTGGGGTGAATTGTAAAATGTCACATGGAGAGTATGATTATGATTTCGCTACGGAGCACAAAAAGCTTGATAACTTATTCGTCATTAGCTGGAATAAAAACATTGCGATTTCGAAAAAAGGAAGCCAGTGAATTTTATATATTAGGTCGTCCCGAAAGTTCTTGCGCACGATTTTCAAAAATTTGTAACTTTGCCCTGTTTCAACGGATTTGCTTGCCTGTAATTTTATTAGAAAGAATAAGTATTTCGCTTTCAAACGCTGTTTTGAGGAGCTTCTGGTTAACACTGAATGCGGAGATAAAAATAGAAAACTAAGACCATATGAGCTTTGACCATTTTAAGTTAGGTCGCCAAAAATCGGGAACGCTGCAGAAAAATCTGAAATAGTCAGTACTTATGTTTCTTGGGCTACCCTTTGCAAATGTGAAAAGTTTGTGCTGTTTGGACATCTCTGTGAGAAGTTATGAATATCGAGCTTACTATGGAAAATGCCAAAATTAATTGATTTGTCGATTTTCGCGAAAATCACAACTTCTCACAGAGACGTTCAAACAGCACATACTCTTCACATTGCAAAGAGTAGGCCAAGAAACATAAGTACTGACTATTTCAGATTTTTCTGCAGCGTTCCCGATTTTTGGCGACCTAACTTAAAATGCTCAAAGCTCATATGGTCTTAGTTTTCCATTTTTATCTCCGCATTCAGTGTCAACCAGAAGCTCCGCAAAAAAGCATTTGAAAGCGAAAAACTTATTCTTTCTAATAAAATTACGGACAAGCAAATCCGTTGAAACAGCGCAAAGTCACAAATCTTTGAAAATCGTGTGCAAGAACTTTCGGGACGACCTAATACCAAGATGCAAATTTTGCTTCTGTAAAATTTCGCCTATCACAAGATTACGTCATTCTTTTTAGCCCCACTGTAGTAAATGAGTTTAAAGTGATTCATCCTAATAGCTTTTTCTGGTACTAGGGCAAATCAACGACATAAAATTGCTTTTACCACGAAAAAATGCAAATTAGAAATCTTGCGCTGCAACTTCCCTGTTTTTATCCTCCTCAATGAGGCCTCGTTCTTTTGTTGGGGTCCATGTTTTGCCATTTAGTTTATCGTCTGATTTGGACGATCGCAAAATTGATGTAGAAAAAAGAGTGGACAATATGAAATGTCCATTATGAAACAGGACACATTCCGACGAAAGCAGTTTGTAAAGATTGTTTCTTAGAAACAAAGCGAACTATCACTTTAGAACAATTATGAAAAACCAGTTTCTTTGAAGGTTGACAAAGCTCCTTACAAGATCTTTAACATCTTTCCTGCCTCGATTATGGTGTTTTTGTAACCTTGGCTTCACTTTTGTGAACGCTGGACGAAGCGAACAAAATTGTTTTGCGAGAAGGTTCCGCACATTCCAAATTTGTGCGTGACGTCGAACATTTGGCAAACCGGCTCGGTGCTGGGAAATATTTTGACTCACCTCCCTTTCAATGGAAGAATACTTGATGTTTTATACACCATCTTTGCCTTACCGCTAAATCTTCTTTTCATCCTGCACCACTCCCTGCAAAACTTGTAATTCAGCCGGAAACAAACTAAAACCTTGGAAGCAAAGCGAACTCATGGAGCGTGCCTTACTGGAATCCGCCTCGATTTCTCGTCCATATATGCAAAAATAGCCTTCTCTTTTTACCACTAATGAATTTCTGACTTTTGTAATAAGTAAATAACTTTTGAATTTGTTTCAAGTCGTTTAGTGAACATCAACCTAAAGCTTCTATCCATCCTTTTTTGGACCACGTGAATTTGTTTTCTTAATCATATGGTTATGGTAATAGAGATTTTCGAGTACCTGGCATTGCGTTTTTTCGCATAGATTGGTCAGACCTCGTTTTCCCGTTATCTTTTTTGCCATTGTATGCAACATTTTTCTTGAAAAAAAAAACAAATCAAAGCATTTTACTTACCTCTCACTCAATTGTCGGAAGTACAAACCTCTCTCCCAGTAAACGAAAATCATTTCATTATTCATTTTCCAAGTAAAGCATCATGTTACATATCGGGTTTTGGAACATTCAGAACAATTTCTATGCTTCAAAAATCACTTTCCTTTTTCATTAAGAAGCAAAATATTCAAAATCTTAAAAAATCGTTTTCTTTCGTACTGCGACAAACCTTTGATACAGTGGTCGGCGCGAGCTGGCACCAGGGAATTCTCAAAACAAAGTCCCCCTTGATTTTTGCTAAGTTTTACGAAGTCTCCCTTGACCCTAAACTCTAAACGTAAAAAACCCTCAAAAAACGAAACGTCGACTAAAAAACGTTGCAATTTCTCGACAGAAACGATATCCCCTTTGCTTTTTGTCCCAAAAACGATATCCAGCTTGCCCCGTGCCAGCTGGTGGCAGGCCCTGCTTTGATATAGTAATGCTCAGAAAGAGAAAATCATGCTCTTTCTCAAGAAATCAAGAAAAACAGTTAAAATCGCATTTTTTTAATTGGTGACTAAAACTGCTAAAAACCCAGTAACATTCAGTGTTACGACTTGTTTTTTTCAACGGAATGACTTTCCAGTCATTTTTGTTGAGATTTTGATTTTGATACTTGTAAATCGACAGTAGGCATGGTAAAACTGAACTATTTACAAGCCACATGAACTTTTTGAGAACAAAAGAATTTTTTGTCTATTGGTGCAAGACTATGGAACCTGATATATCGAGACTATAATCTGTACACCTTATCCGTTTGAATCGATTGACAAAGTCCGATTTTAACAACAGTCAAGCAAGAGATTAGTGTAATCTCTGGCATTGATTGATTTGTGACATAGGTATTGAATCAGAGTCTTGTGCATCCCCCTTTTTTGTGCACGATTCACCCGAAAATGGAAACTTTTTTAGCGATAAAGATCCACCACTTTATAAACTTCTACCCTTCCACAGTAGCCTTGTTGTTGTACTCATTTCTTCTAAAACTTCCACTAATTCATTACAGTCGACACCGGCTTCCGCTCCAGTACCTCGACAACATGTTGATGATGACTCGATTTCCTATCACTCCATTTCACTCGACGATTGTGCCGCGATGCCCGAATGGGACGATGAGGTCAGTTTTTGAGAAAAGAAGATTAGTACGGCCCCATATATGGTTTTTTTCAGCACTGGGACTTTGGCGCATCGTTCCTTGCTGACTTAGATTCTTCCCATGTGTGGAATGATACATTAGAACGACAGCATTTTGGTCCGCTGAAGGACCTCGTAACCACTGGCGGCGGCAAGGCCGATGGGCATAATTTTATGTAGGTTTTTATTTTTATACAGCATAAAGAGTTTACGGAAATCTATTAGAGATTTATGCAGATCTATCACACTTATGCATCCCACATGGTGCGACAAATGCGGGGATTTCATTTGGGGACTTCTGAAGCAAGCAGCTAAATGTGAAAGTGAGCTTTTATTTCAAGTTTAGGACTTGCTTGGCCCATTCCTCTCTTTAAGTTACTTTGATATTTCTTATCTTTTCCAGAATGTAATTATACCTGTCACACTCGATGTAGAGAGTTGGTAACTTTGGATTGTCGATCCGCCGGCTCTTCCTTGTCTTCCGGGGAATTCCCCTCCATCTACCCCAAACTGCTCGATGGCACATTGGGGACAATACCAAAGGAGTTGCATCTCCCTCCTATTCCCATGTCACCCTTTAGTGATTCGGACAAGGAGAATGACACCACCAGTGTGGAGGTAATTTTCCACCCGCGCTGAAAAGTTAAGGTCTCGGGATTCTTCACGCAATTTGGCAAAATTCCATGTGTTTATAAGTCATCTTGAGCGATTTCTGAATGCAATAGAAGGCAGAGCATTACTGCAAAAGTTATACTCATTGTACATTTGAATTCTGCGAGTGTTGGGTACAAAGACACCTGGCAAATCGCCAGTCGCTTGGCGAATGAGACCGCGTGAAATATGCCCGAGACCTAATGCTTCAGCTTCAAGATATTCATTTTTGCACTGAAAATTAGTTTCTAGAATCCGCTTTTTTCGCCCTCCAAGTCTGTTCGTCTAGAACCCATGGTACTACTGGGCCATCCACTGGATGAACAGGTACAACCGGAGACTGTAAATGGAACGCAGGCAAGTAAATATAATAGTTTTTATTTGAAGGTGTAATTTCTGGCGCTACCTTCCCTAAAAAACAAAATTCAAAGTTCACTTAAAGCTTCGACTTCAAAGTTTCCATCACTTGCTTGTTGAACTTGCTCTATAATAACTCCACATTTATCTATAAAATACTCGTTCTCTACCAAAAAGAGGATTTATAAACAAATTGCACTTAATCGGTGAATTTCGATAGGAACTTACTTGTTATATCTCGGCATGAGCAAAAACCTTTGAGAGTCTCATTCATTGAATAAATAGAATGTCAATTTTGAATGTTTCTGTTTTCGTTCCTAATGATAAGAAACAGTTAATTTGTTTTTTTTTCAGACACTGCAAATTTCCGAAGTTTATGTGAAAGAAGATACGCCCTTTGAATGGTCTCCTGCCTATAGGGACGCGAATCTAGCTGAACGAATTGACGAGTACAATAAAACGAGTGAAGGATTGTCTATGAAGATGGTAGTTCACATAAATAAATCACTTACAACTGATTAGTTTTTGCTTCTTTTACACTAAGAAAATTGTGAGAATTTGTGTCTTCATTTTGGCGGTCATTTTGTGTAATTGCACGACATTCAAATCTGCAAGAAGCTTTGTTGATAGAGTTGATTTTTATAAAAGAGGAACAGTGAGATGAGGAAATTAGAAGAAATGCGTGGTGATCTATGGTCACTGCCTTGCCAACACAAGTTTGAAAAATTGTGCAATTGCACAAAGTGACTCTAACGAGGGGACCGTATCCAATCTATAACAATCTCAAACAGTACTTTATAATTATACTTCTTATATGACTGTTTAGTGCGATGACGGTGAGACTTTCTGTGGTCACATCCAAATCCACATGAACCTCACCCGACCCATCAGTGTTGTTGCAGGAGAAAAGCCGCCCACCGTTTATGATGTTGTGAATACAGGTAGGAGAGGTTATTCTTTACAATAGTACCAATCATGCACGTGAAAATGTACGCTTGTGATTACACAAAAAAAATTCATACGATTTATTTCTACCTGTACCAGCAATTATGGAGTAAGTGTTAGTTAAACTATTACCAGACTAATCAAATGAGATCAGAATTCACACAAATACTTTTTCTCGTGCTTTGCATCACATATAATTCAATTACTCGTCGACTACGTATCTTACTTCAGCAGTTGGCACTTTAAAATCGTTGAAGGGATCGATCTAGAAGAGAAATCGTATTGGCAGAAAAGCAAAACAAATTAGTTGTTACCTCTGACGGCATTCAGCTTTTTGCCAATGCTAGCCCTTCGCAGTCGGCTTGCTCGGTTTTCGAGCGGAGTTTCGTTGATGCCTGGAGGCGGTTCGATTCGATTTAGACGATTTTCGCTGTGGTAACGCATCATCTGAATATAAAAGATAAGCTTTGAGACTGGGAAATTTCTCCTGCTTACGGAGCCGCCCTTTCGTGTAGTCGTAGTGCTGCTCATTCGTTCGGCCGAGTCGACATGTCGAGAACTTTGGTCTGAAAAATGGCTAGCTGTCACTGAGCGATCTAATGAAGATGGATAGCATAGCTGACAGCAGTTATGAGAAATCGCATGCTAAAAAAATGCACAAATGTTATATTACTCCATATTTAGTCATGCTAAATTATAATGTTGATTTCCTAAAAAATTAGACTCAAACCCATAATAATCAAAAAAATCAAGGTATATATCTATTGTTAGCAAAATAATATTTTTGTAGAGAGCAGATTTTCCAAGAATGGGATAGAACGAAAACCTGGAAAACTATGATTTTTTCGACCCCCCACCCCCAACAATCCACTCGGACAGGCGTGTACCGTAGTTTATGTGTATAAACGGATTCCTCTATCCTTATTTCAAAATTTCGCTGAGCCAACCCAGTCAAATCGCGATCAATGTATTGATTTTTCTTGGCTTACGGGTAATCAAAAGTTTTTGTTCCCAATTTTTGAAAAGATGTGCAATCGTTCAGAATTCCGCTGTGGCCCTCGAAACATTTTCATTCTGCTTTTAACGCAAAAACGAATTTCTGTCTATCCCCTAGTAGATACTTCCCTACCGAGCGCCCAGTTAGTGCCTAGTGCAATTCGAATCCAAGTGCTTCGTAATCCTACCTTGCGGTTTTAATGTGGGAATTTGTGAACGAATAATGATGTCGCTAGCGTATATTTTATTGACTCAGCATAATGGACCAAATAATGTGGCAGCTGTTGGTAAAGGGAAAGACATGACACACGAAATGTTTTTCATTCAAACTCGATAGCTTCTAGATTTGTATTATTAAACGCTGGTGTCCTTAACTGAACTTATGAATGCACAGTAATTGTTTTACACTCTTAACACTGCTGTAAACATAGTAGCTTGAGCTTCGGCTTGAGTGAATTGGATTACTTAGCTGTCATAGTGCTCATAGCCAGGTGTTATTGCGGTTCTTAGAATATGCATAACAACATAACCACGAATAATGAGCAAGTAAATGTATATGAGATGTCCAAAATTTCAGCATTTTTCAAATGTTTGATATTCGATCCAAAAAATTTGTTTGGTCAGATTTTCAAATTTTTCGCAAAGAATTATCCATATCTCACCCAAAATATTGATAGAATATTAATTCGGTCAAATCCAATTTTTTTGATTTTGAGATAGAATTTATAAATTTGAAAATTTTGGGGTCGATCGCGATAATGGGCATCCATTGTGCCACGATTCTTTACGTGCCAGCTATGAATTGCCTTGATATCACTCGGTAGGCAATTATGTAACCCAAGCTTCGAGACAATTTGGTAAACGAGCTGCGTGTCTTGCCACCCGCCCCCCCCTCCCCTCTCCCGCTTATTTCAGTAAATTTTTCGAGCAAATCTAAACCTCAATGGGTACAAACTCACTAAATTCGTTTCCTCTTCGATATGTTTGGGATCTACGACGACTAGGCGTGGGACTCTGTGGCAAGGATCGCGCTGTGTTCGGCATTGATCGTGACGTGCTTGGCTGTAGAAATCCATCTTGACACTTCTATATACCTCCTCCTGCGTTCTCATTACCTTAACCATTAGATTCCTTGGTCGTTCTTGATGAGGAGGTTCTTCTATTGTGGACACTGTGCTCAAATCCATTGCCGTGGACACATCGGCTCTTTGTTGGCTTCTCTCTTCTAAACCCAGTCGCTCCATAAGAATGTCCGTAACATGTGCTGATATCGCCCGAGCTAGCTGCTCCAAGCACATGTCGATATTCGTGTCGTCTTTGTCCTAAAGAAAAACTTTATGATATTCTTACGCTTGCTTTAGATGAATGGCTCAAAAAAGCATTCCATTGTTATGCGGCGCTAAAAGGACTGCACTTTGCAAAGATTTCAAAGTTCATCCCTTTTGCGAAGATGTTAGCACTTTGCCGAAGATGTCTGGAGCAAAAACGAACCTCAAGCCGTCCATTTACTTGCGGCATTGTCTTCACTGTTGAACTTTCACTTCGATCACAAGCCCAAAGATTTGCCTGTAATAAGAGTATGGAATTGGAGAGATTATAAGGCTCAGAGAAAAAAAATCACGGCAACCCTGAATGATGGAGATTTTACAGCGGATCAGAGAAACCATCATATCGACAAGTAAATGGCTTCAAAAAGAAAATTCTAGCTTCATCTCCTTTACTTCTTGACATTATTATTGTAATTCGATAACTATGATTTAGTTAGTCTGAGGGTAATGTAGTGTCCCTAAGTACCGACAGCATTTGCGCGTAAAAAAACATTTCATTTTTTCCGCGCAAGTGTTGTCGAGGCCGCAAGAGAACTGTAATAAAATTAATTTTTTGAATGAAGGGCGGGCATAAGCTAACTCTCCAAAAAACTTGTTTAGATGCTTCACGTTTTAAATCACACAAATTAATAATTATATTGGACTATAACACAAAATTCTTTTAACTGGCGGAGTAATGTTTAGAAAAAACAAACACAAAATCAAGTACGTGCACAATTTTATAACACTATTTTGGCCACTTCTAGAAACTTCGTGAAACATTCGCGAAGGTACTGCTAATCAAAAAATCACTAAAATTATTTCTAGTGGATGTTAGTAACTAAAAATCTCTCTCAGGAAGAGTATTAGGCTCTCGCACTTTCATGCTTGCTATCTCATTCTATCCGACACACATCTTCTGAATCATGGAGTGACATTGAAAGCCGACAGACGGCATTGGATATGGCGGAAAGGAGCGTAAGGCACGTTTTTTCCGAGGAGTTGACGTCAACAACGAAAGCCCGTTTTGGGAAAGAGAAGGATAAGAATGCGGTGAGAGCCGCTGAGAAGAATGGGGTGAAAATAGATTACATGACGTGATAGCTTTGAGAACCATGAAAGTAACAATTTTCACCTCATTTTGCACTTATGATGCTGTCCTTTTGAGGGAAAGTGTTGAAATACACATCTACATGGTTCCTTATTAACGCTAGCGTGCACATATTCAAATAGAATTTGTTCTTAAGGGAACTTTGGATGAAAACACCCCTTCCTTTCTTTGCAAAAGCTCGTACTTATTCCGGCACATTGTGTAAAATCGATAAGTGCAAAAGAAGTTGTTTTTGAAGAAAAAAGCCTAATTCAATAGGGGGTTACCTCGTGTATGAGTTCGCTGAATACTTTATCTAGGCTTCTGCCACTTTTGCGATCCATTTTGGCAAGCCGAGAAAATTAAAATGGTGAGTGAGAATGGCTCAGACAGAGCAGCCACCTTCCTTGGGAATAGAAACGAGAAATGAATGGTTCTCGAAGAAAATGAGGTTACGATGTTATCAAGTTATCGCTTAGCGCGTCATTTGTAGATTATTATGTGGCTTGCACACCAAGCGCGGCAACCGACGACACCTTGCTAAAAAATAGCCATTAATGTCTTCTACATAGTGGGACAAAATGTGGAATTCTGTACATTCTCTTTGTCCATTAAATGAAAGAAGAAAAAAACAAGGAGACTTCATTGAAAATTAACAGTTTTTAATTCCAAAAAAATCGTGAGGTAGCGCGCATCTTGTGCAATACGCACTTGACGATACTTATTTCAGGAAAATCGTCGATGTCGTCGCTTCGAACGATTACGTCGTTCTTCCTGCCAAGGAACACGGTGAAGACGATCAACATCAACAGCAGAATGACAACAAGGTAAGCGGCTATGCGCCAGTGCTCGCGGCCATCCGACGACGGCGACAACTCGTCTGCCATCGATTGAGGGCCTTCCAGGAGACGAACGACGGATATTTTGTACACACTTGGCGTCAAGGATCAATATTGAGGCCCCACGGAGCGTAGAATCCTTAAAAAGTCCAGCTGCCTTGCGTGAGCACCATTCGTGCCACCAAGAGAAACCTAAGCACAGAGCCCTAATGGGGCTCACACGCATCTCAGCTGAGACTGACGGCTCCGCCCCTCAAAGCGAGCGCGCGGAAAGTGGACGAGTGTACTTGTATGGACCATTGTCCTTTTCAGGCAGATGATCGTGACTTTGCTGCGAAAATTCCGAGTAGCCGACAATCCTAGGAAGTTTGCACTCTATGAATGCAGCTATGAAGATGATAGGGAGACGCCGACTTTGCTCAGTAAGTCCAACTTCAACGATGTAAATAAAAGGTTTTTGTAGTAGCTGTTGGCGTAAAAACGTAAAAATTTGAAGGCAATTTACAAACAACTGGTCAGACCCAGAGAAATCCTTAAAAAATTCTACATCGTTTTCCAGTGTTGCATAAAAGGAGACCATTACCCAATAAAAACTTGCAAACGTGCACGGATTACTTCCAGACCAATCCACACAATTTTCTTTGAACCTTTCCCCTCAAGTTTTTGGGACGGGCATCATAATACCATATCAAGTTATAATAGGTTAAGTATGTGCACACTAAGTAGTTATTGACGAGCACTGCGATTGATTGATTTTTCTTCTATTTGAAAAAAAAGAGAAAATTACGGGACTGGTACGGAGTGACGTTATACCGCAAAGCAAAGCGAATTTTTCTACCCTAATAAGAATGAAGAGCATAGATATGTTACAATACAATCCACAAAATCGACATATCGATTAGAAATTGATAACTGTGAGTTGTAGTCACATCATGGAGATTTTGATCGCAAAGAAAAGTTCATTTACGCAATGACAAATCCAACTCACGTTGGTCCCTGACTGCTAAAAACCTTTTCTTCAGTTCATCACGTAACAGAAATATAATGGTGTATTATTATGCAAAAGTAAACTCTGATTATAATGTTAAGTTCTCATACTTAGCATTCGGTACGAAAACAGAGGCATAGTATCAAAAGATGGTTTTAGATTGTACAAAAGTGAGAAATGCATAAGAGAGCAAAGCAGATTTTGCAAATTCAATTTTTCGCATTCCTCTATAGTCGTTCACTTTTTTCGGACCTTTCCTTTCCTTTCTTTGTTCGTGCAACTCTGCTACTGCAAAATGGACAATTTCCGAAAGCGCTTTTTGGAACGAGAGGCTTATTCGGCTCTTGAGCACGCTTTCATGAAAATGTAGTGTTGGTACGTGACCAGCCTAAGCGCCAATCAAAAACTAATGTCGAAATTTATATTCGCACAAGCATATCAGGCTGACATAAAAGGCATTGTCTAAGTCCGCTGAGGGGTGGTACGCAGTACGAGAGTGCAGCCCTGACAATTTCAACAGTTCAAGTCCCATCAGAAAAGGTGGATTCAGAAGCGAGAAAACTGCTTCGGACGAGTCTGCAAAAAGGGTGCAGCACTCTAATTACGCCTCCAATCGGTAGAATCCCGCCCATCTAGCGTTTTTCTACAGCTGCAGTAGGGCGCGTCCGTCCATCGCTCTTCCGTAGGGACCCTCGAAAAAGGAATTTTCGCGTTTTTTGGATAGGAGGGTCAGATTAAGATTCAGCGGGTCGAGAACAATCAAAAGTGTTTAAAATCTTAGTGGTGAGATTCTAACTGGACAGTGTTTGTAACCGAAACACTTTTGGGTCCCGGTCCTCCCGAGACTCTTCTGTGCCACTTTCAATCATAATTAGTTTACGATATAAAGAACGCAGTACCTGAGTACGCAGTACCTTTTCTTCAAAACTTGAGAAGCTGTTTTATACTGTAATAGTTTCTACATGCGTATCTGTCTTGGCTAAGAAATGATCAAAAATTTGAGCTGCGTTAAAAAATTGAAGGTAATATATATTTACATTTGGAGAGAGGTGCTTTGAGATCTTTCCCTGCAAGCTAGCTGTCAGATTTGCTCTTTTCACCGTCAACAAAAACGTTATTCCAAGTTGGAATTTTTATAGAAATTTCGAAGGATTATAATGTATTTGTTTAAGGCTATCAAAAGAAGTCTGTCCACCAAGAAAAACTACCTCTATAAAGTACAAATTTCGTGATTTCCAGGGAAAATGACGCGAATATCGGATGATGTCTGTCCTCTGAAAGTTGTTCTCAGCTGGCAGAACGCCAAATGTGGCAAAGCACTGGTTTTGCAAGAAAACGATACGGGCGATATATTGGTAAGTATTTTCTGGAAATGTTAGATGAAACGCAATTATGGGATGTGAGCATAGAAAAGAAAAGAAATAGAAATAAAAAAACAAAAAAGCATAGAAGTGAGAGAGTTGAAAATGCCAACAACCTTTATTACATAGTCGCTGACGATTTTTTTTTCAACAATCAGAACAGGATTACTTTTTTTATGTGTTTAGTTCACCCTCTTCAAAAATGTATTTTGATGGATTATTTGGTGCATCCACATCAAATATGCATTGGCCCACATATTTGCCTCACATGTTAATTTTGCTTTAACTTGAATATTCATATAGTATTCATTGTAGTGGGACGCTTTCGAAGTGCCTGAACTGGACAACTTCCTTAGAATTCTGAAGATGGAGGAGCAGCAGTATCAGTGGCAAATACGGCAACGTTACCATCAGTATAGGTAGGCTTCTCTATTCCTTCTACACTTCAATTTTGCTTGAGCTATAACGCTTTTCTAGATATTTTGTTGATATGGAACTGCGACGGCGAGGATATAACGTAGGCGAGGATATTGGCGAGCCACCGACGGCTTTGGCTCCACCACCACCTCCGGTAAGTTCATTAGTCAATTTAATTTTTCTCCTTAATAAGATTTTAACAAATAACGAGCTATGTGCAGATTTGATTATCAGATCATTTCACTGGTATTTTCTGACCATTAATCTACTAATATTGAGTTCAAGTGCGAACGAATTTAGACTAGAAGCCCTTTTGTTACGCTGAATTTTGTACCAATTTTGTTAAAAAAGCGCTCAAATTTCTTTTTCATAAGTAGTCTAGTTAGGTTAGGTATGTTTTAAGTGCTCTTGCGCTGTCAACAACACTTTAGCGTATAAAATTAGCCGAAGTGCAAAACGTTAAATATACTTAATGGCGGTTTTTACGCGCAAATGTTGTCAGCAAACACAGGACGCCATAACACCACGTCGACCGCCGTCAGATCAGGGCTCGGCACGAGCTGGCATCAGGGAAATTTCGAAACGAAGTCCCGTTTGATATTGAAAATTTTGTACGAAGTCCCTTATGACCTGTTTTGAAAACCCGTCATCATTATTATATTATCAGTGCGTCACCTCTGCTTCGCAGAGGCTCGCACTGGTTCTACGATCTAGGCCCTACTCATTCTCGCATAATGATGGCATTGAAACTCACCGAGCGATGCCTACTATCATGAACAAAATGTAAACAACTACTCATTCCGAAAGCTTTTTCATGTGAAATCGGTGATTTCGCGTGGATGAAATTTTTTTACAGGAGAACAAAGCAAAATTTTGTACGTTTTTGATTCTCCCACAGTCTTGACAGTCGCCATAAAAACAGTAGTCACCATAAGCTACATTTAGGTGCAAAAATCTCATCAAATGCTCTGGTAAAAGCTGGGCAAAATGACCATTTACGCAACCAATACTTTTTGGCGCCGTTTTTGTAAAGTAGTGGACTTTTGATCACTTTTTTGGGCCTAAGTTCATGGTTTGCACATTTACTTGCCATAAACATCCACGAGCCTGCAAAAAGTGGAATTACAGACCCAATTTTTTGGGGACGAAAAGCCAGGTGGGTCCGATTGACGCGCATTTTTTGGGGGATCCGCTAAACGGATCCGCTCGTGCTTTTGTATACTGGACTCTCAATTTGGTAGCATGCGCTGTGAAAAAATTGGGCTTAAGATGTTGGCTGGCAACCGTTCCACGAATTTTGTGACAGACACACACACACACACACACACAAAAACACGTAAACATCCTTAGCCCGTTATTATCATAACTTATAATAACGGGCTAAGGGTGTTTACGTGACTTTGTGTGTGTGTGTCTGTCTGTCTGTCTGTAACGAAATTCATACAGCGGGTTCCAGCCACCATCCCGAGCCCAAACTTTACATAGCGCATGCTACCAAGGTAGAACTCCAGCATGCAAAAGCACGAACGGGTTCGTTGAGTGGGTCCCCCAGAATTTGTGCGTCAAACGGATCCACTTGGCTTCTGGCCCGCAAAATTGGGTCCGTATCAACGCTTTTTGCAAAGCCGTAGACGCGTTTAGCAGGTTGATGTGTAAGCCATGGACTTTAGACCAAAAAGTGACCAAAGGTTTGCTACTTTACGAAAACGACGCCAAAAAGAAATGGTCGCATAAATGGTCAGTCCGCCGTGGTTTTACCTGAGCATTTTAGAAGATTTTTGCATCGAGATGTAGCTCACGATAACTATTGTCCTTATGGCGACTACCAAGCCAAAAAAAGTTTCAAAACCTGTTCAAATTTGCATTTGTTCTTCATTTTCCAAAGTTTCATCCACGCAAAATACCGATCTCACGCGAAAAAGCTTGGGAAATGAGTAGTTGTTTACGAATCATTTGTGAAGGCGGGCATTGCGCGGTAGGTTTCAATGCCATGTTATGCAGAAATGAGTGTGGCATAAGATAGAAGAGCCAGTGCGAGCCTCTGCGAAGCAGAGGTGACGCACTGGTAAGTTATGATGTAAAAAATGTAGTAGTGTGTTCATGCATTTCTGATTTCATGAAAGAACTTTTCACAGCTTTCTGAGCTTTTTAAGTCGACGAATCACATCTTGAGAAGCAGAAAAGCCGATTTTTCGACTGCGGAGGAGACCGAGTGGTTTTCAAATTGCTATAAAACGCTGAAAAGAGAACATTATGAAACCGTTTCTTCTCCGTATGTAATCTTTTACAGTGTAGATACATTTTATGTAAAAAAGTATGAAAACTTATGTGAGCAAAGTGTCGGTGCCAGCTCAGCTGGCACCCAGCTGGCACGGTGCCAGCTAATTCAGAAAAAAGTTCGGCACAGCTTTCATTCACATAAGTTTTCATAAATTTTTGGCCCGTAGTTCCGGTCCACCAACGCGCATGCACACGCCAAATTTGGTGTCATACTATTGCGTTTTGGCTGAAAACAACGCCTTTGTTTGTTGATGGACAGCTTGCCAATGGCATGCCGGTGGCATGCCGGCGGCATTTTTGCGGCAGTTCTCCGCCTCGGCCCCTGTAGAAACGATATCCCCTTTGCTTTCCGCCCTAAAAACGATATCTAGCTTGACCCGGTGCCAGCCGTGCTGAGCCCTGCGTCAGATCGATTAGACTTTATGTCTTGAATCTACTAGACTGAATGCTTTTTTCAGTTGAAAAGCTATGTACGAAATGTCGTATCGTTACTATGAATTATGAAGACAACGAAAGTTTATTGCACTTGGCTTAGGCAGAATCCACCATGACGACGGCTGTGCATCCACCACAATCAAATTAGTCTCCAAGGCCTTGAATTGATACTAACTCCCCCACGTTTGATAAGAACATTTTCCCTTGTCGTGCTTGGTCGGCTTCACCTCAGCTTCGGTCCCTTATAGAATGAAGGAAGCAGTTCTGATGCAGATTTTTTATGCGCGAACTTCTTACAAAAAGTTTAATGAAGCAAAGGGCTTTGCTAATTTACCTATGTAGAGGGTTCGATGGAGACGTATTGTTTTGAGGTGTCAGTGAGTACATTAGGGGAAGATTTAGCCATGAACTAGTTAGTTTTGACGTTGAAAGAGCAGTTGCGGTGTCGACAACACTGCGCGTAGAATAATGCTCATAATGTGTGTCCTCATCAAAATATACCAAAGCGCACATTTTTGATGCTCAGGCTGCATTCAGAGCTGCACGTGCCAGCGTCGTGTTAGCCGTGATTGACCAGTACGATTTGTCTTTACGTAAAATTTGGCACGGTGCTGGAACGGCGCTGGCAGAGCTTTGGCGCGCGGGTAACTCTGAATGCTGCCTCATTTCCACATTTACGCAAATGCTTTAGACAATGCGAAAGAATTATAGTCGTAGTTGCGTCTAATATTAGCAAATGGTCATGATGCTTCATGTAAAGGGCCAGGTATACTTTACGCGATTTCAGCCGCGGCGCGATTTGGCAATAATCCAACTGTCGTGAGCGAAGTCGTTGTCGGGTTACGGTCACGGCGCAGCGGTTTTCGAGGACGGATCTTTCAGCCGTGAATGAACAATTTGCGCTGCCCCTTGGACAGTGCCTTAGTTAGGACCTCCTCATCTATTTCCAGGCAAAAAACCCATGCGCCCAGATTTGCCTGAACACTGCCTTTAAGGCACAAATATAAGCTATTCATTGCAACGGCCTAGTGCATCTCTCCATATCCTTTTTTCCTCGATCTTGAGCAATTTTCCTTCAGCTTGCCGACTACAATGAATACGGAACGGGTGAAAGTATGGTAGTCAGCGATGTCTTTCAAACGATGCGAAACGGTCAGCTGTCGTCGACGCTCAGAGCCACGGACGGTGCCACCGCTGAGGCCATCCATGACCCCACCTACGTGAATCTGAGCTTCCTGCGAGCTCAGCAGATGGAGCAGTCAACGAGGTTGTGAACCAGCAGGGAATCGTCTCTTTGCCTTCGAGTCCAGTGATAACGTGTAGCACTTGATGAAGTAGCCTGGGTATCAGTTCACGATTTGTCTTCATTTAGTCAGCAGCAAGTCGTTTGTTGATTTTTGATTGTATTTTTGCGCACGCTGTTTTTCAACTTCATTGAATGATTGACGAGTATGCCTACCTAAGAAATAATTGCTGTAGATTGTGCAAAACTCTCTCATCTCATCAAAAATTTAGTCCTGCTAATCTTGTGAATATATTTTTTCTCATATAGCTGCTCTTTTATGACCAATTCCCTCTGACGTGTCGACCCGTCTTCAGCTCGCACTCTCATACAAATTTGCTCACGTTCCTCGTCATTCTCGTCCAAATTCATTTTCATCTTGATGTGTTTTTTACATGTGATTGATTTTTTCTGAACGGATATGCGTTGTTGTTTTGTGGTGCTCTCTGGTTGTTCTCAAATTTCCACATTTCACACATTCACATCTCCCCGCATGTCTGTTTATAATTTATATGATGATATGGATAAACTGTGATGGTGTGAACCATGTGACCCCAGAAGATATCATATCAACGAAACTTCTTTAGAGGCGACCGTTCATCTTCCTTTTGAGTCTTTCTCCTATCGAAAATTCAAGATTCGTTCCTTCTCAAAATCAAATATCTGTGAGGAAAACGCTGTACTTATCTTGAAAGTCGTTTTCATCGAAGTGTTAAGTCGGAACTTAAGTACTGCACCAAAGAAATGCATCTGAAATGTCCAACGCAGTTTTCCAGCAGAAATTCGCTCTCCAGTTTCTAACTTTTCGAGACTTTTCGCCATGCTGAACCTTTATCTGGGCTTTTCAGCGCTTAAAACGACGAGAATTAGCTTTTCTCGGAGCTTTATATCCGCAATCGCTGGAAAATACGTGTAAGTGGGCGGAATCTGGAACGAAGGGGCGGGGTCCGGAAGATTTCTGAAGCGGATTGTAAGACTGATTCTCGGGCGAGCTTTTTCGTTCCAGACCTCACATTTAGGTTAGTTGGATGTCTACCATTACAATTCTGTAAGATCTCAATACCCATCACTTTGCCGGGACGTTGCCTTCAAGTACCTCTTCGAGTTCTAAATGTTTCTTTTGTAATTGATATATGTAGCATTTTATTACACGTACTAAAAGTTTGATCTCAAACAGCATCAAAATTTGAAACTTTTTTCGAAGTACAAATTTTTCATAGAGATACCGATCAGTACGAATTTATCTAATTAACAAGAGAATCATAAACCGTCAGTCAAAAGTAAACAGGAAGTTGTTGAGAAAATCAGCAGTTTAGCTACCGGAAATCCAGAAAAAGAATTGAGTGCCTCTCGATATCAGCTTTTGTGCCATTGCTTATCACCTGAAAACGCAAATTACTCTCGAATTTTACATAAACCCAGCGGATGAATTGAATTCACTTTATGGCTCGTTTTTTCTGAACTCTTCTCCCCATTGATTCTTTCTTTCTTTAACTGTTGAACGGGCACCAATAAATTTTGAGGTGTACATCTAACGCGTCTTGAATACAGGTTATCCAAAAAACAAACTAGTTTTGAAAACAAAACAAGCTGTCTTTGTTATCATGGCCGATCTAAGCTGCCATTCAGAGCGAAACAAGCTCTACAAAACGACGACAAAAGCTTAGGCTAAGTCGTAATCCAGGTAAGATTTGGAGCCAAAAGCAAAAAAAATTTCATCCTCTATAACTGGACGTCACCGAAAAATCCCACGGACCTCCAACTTGTCGTTATGCAGTAGATACAATAACGCTGTTATTCAAAAAAGGCGCAAGGTCTCTCGACTCATGTGAATCACCGCAATATGACCATATCTCGTTTTAAAATGAACAAATTCTCAATTCAAGGGCACCATTCGACTTAGCTCGGCGCGGCGCATCTTTCGATATGCACAAGTGCAGCTTGATTACAGTAGGAGGCCAGATACCACGAATCTTTTCAATTTTTTGCTTACGGTAGGTTATTCAGCGTGGTAATTCGTTGCTCTCACTGGGCAACCTATCGTAAGCCAAAAATTGAAACGATTTGTGGAATTTGGCCTCTACTTGGAATCTGGCCTCTACTATGTCCAAACAGGTGCTTCTATATATCAGAAGATGCGCCGCCCCGAGCTGAATCGAACGGTGTCCTGGAATAAGAATTCGTCTACTTTGAAGCGATATAGGCCACGTTACTTTGATGTCACTTGAATCGGCCGTTTTGCGTTTTTTTTGAATACGAACGGTGTTTACATAATAGTACTCAGAAATGCTTTCAGTGGATTATTTCCATGCATAGAAAGCGAGAAACCGAAGATACAATAATCCGAAACCCAGCTTCTCCCGCACATGGGATTATATACTACCTTAGTAAGTAAGACTTTGACATTTCACCTATGTATTCACAAAACCGAAAAAATCGAAATTTTTGCACTCGAGCGATTTTTATTTTTCAAATTTTGAGATGCGGTAAAAAATTACCAAATGCATTTTCGGATACTAAGCGTCTACAGAAAAATGACCAAGTTGAAGGTGAAAATTTTTTTTGGAAGAAATCCGATTTTTAAAGTAGTTGAAAAATTTTGATCCTTGGCGCTCCATATTTACATGAAATACGACTTAGGCGGATCTAAGACCGCCAGGAAAACAAAAACAACTTGATTCAGAAAAGGAGTTTACTTTTGGGACAACCTAATAGTTTAGAAACCTATACGTCTGCGCACATTTTTTGATCACTTTGATTCTAGATGAGTTGGTTGAATGTAGGATTTTAGTCTAGATATCACTTCGACCAGTGGACGATTTTACTCAGCCACAATCACTCAAATCACATTGGAAAAAAATTCAACTCTTATCAGAAGATCGTTTCGCAGCAAAGAGGGAACTTCTTGTCTTTTCGAAGTGCATCTTATCGTATTAATCCCATAAGGAACGTTTCAATTGTTTACAATCTCTTGAAACTGTAATCAACTGAAGAAACCATAGCGTCACCAGTTTTTGAATTATTTGACCGTATAAGCTTCATACATACGGGTCGCAGGATTTTCAATGCGCTTCGTAATGGGAAAAAGCTGTGGGGGTAGATTGTTTCAAACTTTTCATAATTTGCAAGATTGATTTTAGATTTATATTCACATTACTGATAGCGTATTCATAGTACTGACAGCGCCACGCTGCCCTTTGCCGAGGAAAAAAATTTCCAAATTTGATTAGTAGTTCAAATTTTGGTGAGCGTGCCCGAGCTCAGTTGTCTTTCCCCGCTCAAAATAAATTCTTTCATCCTCCCACCTCCGCAAGTAATTTTTCGATAATTATTTCTCCTATTCCACGCAAGCCTAACATATCCAATAATTTTATGTAAAGGTTTACCTAATGTGGTTTTGCAAAGAGGTCATGTGCATAGAATGCGTTGGCCACTCACATTTTGTAGGCTTTTGTTTTTTTTACAAGGATATTTTCCAGCAGAGTAGACTGATAAAAGGGTGCTCTTGCGGTTCCTTACTTAGCGGCCCCATTTCATTTTTCGTGAAAGTGTTGTGGGCGACGCAGATACACTATATTGACTTTGTACCCGCATACAGACATTGCAATTTTTGATGAATAATTCCTCCATTACGCATTCCTCCACATCTTGCCCTTTCGCTTTCAGCTCCATAACTGCAATACACAGTAAGTAAAAATATATAGACAATCTCACTCCAAAAATATATAGACTCACAGTCATCGGAATAACTAAATATTATTAAATTATACTTCGCCTATTAATGCATAACAAACACCGGTGATCTGCAACATTCGGCTGTATACAAGGCAACGCTACAAACAAAAAATGTAATTATCTAAAAATGCTAAATTCGTTGCGTGTGCGCGCTTTTCTAGCTCTTTTTTTTCGTGAACCTCGTCCTTTAAGCCGTTTCTCACGATTCTGGTGATTGCATGTTTTTGCATATTGAACAAAAGCTGAAGCCTCTGCATCCCTCTCTTATATGTTCATTCTTCGCCGATTATTTCCGAAGCCCTGCTTCTACCTTTAGCTTTTGGCTGTCATCTATAAATACTTTTGAATTGAATGTGAGTGATAACGAAACTCGTTCAACTTTCTGATCCTACTTGCCCGCCTAATAGATTACCCTCTCTTCACTCTCTGTAAGTGTAATTTGTTGTTTACTGCCCCCAAGAAACTGTCTGAAAACTCTAGCAATTTCCATTACGCGTTTCTTACTTTCTCTAGTCTCTAGCAATTTCCATTACGCGTTTCTTACCTTTCTCTAGTACAGTGGACTACAAGGCACATTTTGGCAAGCTATCCTCATATCAAGCAAAGACGTACATGTAGAGTGGAAAGTGAGGAGTAACTTGAAAAATTCTAATGTGATTGAAGTTTTGCGAAATGTGAAGCGGAGTAATTTTCGCAAAAAATAAGTATGCCGATGTGTCACAGCTGTTAAAATTGAGTGAAAAGTACATTGGGAACTTGAAATGCTTGTGCGTGCCTTCGAACTAGCTTTATGAAAGATGGATGGTCTTGGTTTGCGCAGTGAGGTATTACTGTATTCTGTATATTAGAGTTAGTGAGAGTGCAGGGCTTCTTTCGTCTTTGAACTAAGAACATAAGAAAAACCAGTGGTTATCGGTAAATATGTGCATTGTTCTGATGTGACTATGCTTTGTTGTGTTTTTTGCGTACGGTCGAGTAGACCTTTCGCTCAACATAGTGTGCTTGCACTGTAGGTAAAATGCGGTAAAATTTGCGCGTGAATAAATAGCCACGCCAGTAATGCCGGCATTTAGCGCACGCAATTGGGCGGCGTCACAGGCGTAGCTATTTGTTCACGCGCAATTTTTACCGCTTTTACCAGCGGTGCGAACACACTCTCTTGAGCGGAAAATCTTCTCGGCTGGAGTGTTTAGAGGAATCCTTTCCGTGTCTCTGTATCAGCTCTGTTTTACGGTAGGTATGTAAGACTAGGTCTTTCGTATCGAGGGCAAGATTTCGCTGAAGGTACGATGCTTCTTTTCTTAAACATCAGAGAAGTTGTACTGTATTCTGATTTTATTCAATCGAAACTCAGACTAATGAAATATTTCTTATTCAAATAGGTGATTGCTGCTAGTTTGTATTGTCTCTGCGAGCTTTCAACGAAGAAAAACTAGCGCTGACTAGTACTCGCAATCGTACACAGGCCCGAGAATGACAAACTGGACTACCACTCTAACGCAAACTAGTGTGACAGTAGTGCCTCTAGTTTCTTAGGTACCGGGTTGTTCCAAAAATTCTACCCGCTTTCGAGTTTATTTTCAGTTCACCCTAATTACTCTCAAAATTAACCATTGCGAGTACAGTAAAGTATATTTACTTTGTGAATCTTTGGCAGCTCTGCTCTGTGTATACCAAAAAATTACCGCAGCAACTATTACTAGCCTGAAGATCCTCACATATTCTTTTTTGAAGTTTCACTTTGAGAGACCACAACTTAATCCGGATTGTGATAAGATAGACAAACACTGCTCATTATTAGGCATAGTTGGCTGAGCAAGACTAACGTCAAATTTGCTTGAATGTTTTCAAAAAAGATTCGTACAAGAAGCTCGAAAACCCTACCAAAATCGCTCTTTTTAACATGATAAAAAGCACTTTAGTTATTTCTGATTTTTCGTTGCTGTGAATTGAGGAATTTTTTTCGAGAGCGGAAATATGGAATGTGCTAGGCGCTTTCTTGCTATATAGAGCAATTTTCCATTCGCATCGCGCTTACAATTCGCAAAAAAAAAACACATCGTGTTTATGCTGGAGTTTTCGGGTTAGCAAATTTGGTACATCCTAGCAACAGTGGCGGACCGAGGGGAATGGGTCGCGAAATTTTTGAAACTTACCTATATGGGTTGTAAAAATGTGCAAACGACTTGTTTGCACTTGAAAATAATTAAAATAATTTTTAAAATTTTTTAAAAATTCATTTTAGCCATATAAAAAAATTTTTTCGGGGGCGTGGCTGACGCCACGCCCCCTTTTTTCAGACTTTAGGGGTCGGGGACCCGCAAAAATTTTGAGAAGCACCCCAAAAATTTTTTCGGAGTGCGTGGCTAACGCCACGCACCTTCTTTGGAAAAAAAATTTTTGTCCCGCACCCCCCCCCCCCCCCGAAAAAAATTTCTCGGACCGCCACTGCCTAGCAAGCATTATGTAGCACAAGTCTGAAATAATGCACACGTTTAGAAATATATCGTTTTTCCCATGGAATTCATGGAGATAGAACAAAGAGAAAGAATTCGTATATAAAAACGAAGAAAAAGGCCACACATACTTTGCTGTCCTTCCGACGTACAGATCCGAAGATTGAACAAAGCTCCATGAAAAAGAGAGTTTACGTAGACACTAAAAGGCAAACGCTTTTATTAGGTTGTCCCAAAAGTAAAGCGTATTTCTTAATAAATCAGACTGTTTTTTCTAGCAGACTGAGGCTTCGGACAGAGTTCACGCGATTTCATCGTCGCGATTCATCGCGACAGCACAAGTCTTACGAGTTCATTGCATGCCGATCTTCTTGCATTTCGGTGGTGGTAGTTAGTCACGATTAGTCTTTTTGGAGAACTATCACAAGCGAAATGCAAAAAGATTGGCATGCGATGATATTGTTACAGCTGTCTTGGCGCGATCAATCGAAGCGATGAAATCGCATGAACTCTGCCAGAAGCCTTAGAGTATTATTCGATAAAGCAAAGCAAGCTCTACAAAATGACCCCAAAAATCTGCCCAAGTCGTAATCCAGATAAAGTATGGAGAAAGCTTTGTGGAAAACATCACGGTCGTCTGAATCGCCCTACACCCCTTGTAGAGCTTGCTTCGCTCTATCGAATGGTACCCTAAATCCGTTAGGAAAACAAAAGCAGTTTGATTTATTTAGGAATCGCTTTATTTTTGGGACAACCTATAAATGGTTGAGCAGCTCTCACAGAAACAGTTTCTCCCTCTAAGACAAGCAGTCAAAGAAGAGACACAAAAGGGGTGTGGCATTTATAAACCAAATATATAAAATCTAAGAAAGTTATGGTTTACAAATGACTATAAATATGGATCACGAGATGACAAAGACAGATGACTCAGACAGAGACACATGGGAATTACATCGTTGAAACGTTGCGAAAGGCAAACCTGACTTGCGCATGAGATAACGTGCTTTAGTTGTGCAAAAAGTGAATTGTTTTCATGATTGATAATTGTTAGAATACTTCCAGTGAACATCGACAATGTGTGATAAGAAACAAAGTCCCCTTCGACTTTCGCGAAATTTTACGAAGTCCCCTTTGACCCAAAATCGAAAGTGTCAACTGAAAAAACCTAACATAAATTTGTTTTTTCAGACCTCAAAAACGATACCGCTTTGCTTTTTGTCCCAAGATATTCAGCTTGATTAACCACCTGTACCGAGTCCTGATTTAGGTGCTAGTTCTGCAAAAATGAAGTTGTCTATGCGCATTTTTTTATTTGAGTCGATTAGAGGAAACCGCTTCGGGTTGAAAGCGCCACTTTACTGGTGTTTTCACCTAAACTTTCACTAATCCCCGACACGAAGGTTAGGTGGTGCAATTCGTTTCGAAGGCGAAATCAGGTGCAGCCAAAGACCAGTTCTAGGACCAGCTTTGCTAGTTACGCCTCCTCACATTCGTACAGATCGCCAAAACGTCATAAGCAGTAGCGAATGTAGTTTTGCTGGTCATATAGCATCTCTTTCACTCCTTTCTTGTTTATTTGCTGTATTCTGAAGAATTACACATGGATTGTCGAGTCATTTGAGAGCTAATATGTATTTGCACAAAGTGCGCGCCACTTTACGACCTGTAGAGTAAGGCCTTCCCGTTTCTAGTGATTTTTCCTTGTTTCCTTGTCTCTAATCTGGTTGGATATATATTGGAGAATGGAGTTGTACAGTTCCTTACGTGGGAAAAAGATTTTGCTAAGGATACCGGCAAGAATGTCGTCGGCTACAGCGCATAGTGTGCGGACTCACATATTGAGTTACAAATGGCTCAAAGATAAAATATACATGTACTCTGCTATCAATAGGAATTTCTGGCTCTTTCTCCCTCATTCTGAAAATACCTTGCGAACTCTTCATACGACAAATCGCTACCAAACACCTGTCTCGATCAGTGTTCGTTTGTTTGTACTAACAATGTTTGCTTATCCTCACTGTCGTTCGTTGGGCTTGCTGTCCATTTTACTTCTCTAACTGGAAGGATTTCCCTCTAATTCTTCTTTACATTTCGTGAGATTCTTCATTTTCTCAAGAGTTTCTAATCAGATTAGCTTTGAGCGATTTAGAGAAAGGCCTTCAAATACACGCATGTTGTCCGATTTGTAACAAATCATTGGCAACAAAGTCCATTCGACCTTGCATTCCAAACAAATCTTACTACTGCTCTTTATGAAGGTGATTAAATATGTACAGCCAAATTATCATCGATTTTCTCTTGTGAAATTTGGTATTAATATTCGACATGATTCTAGTAGATCATTATTCATCAAATTCTGGCGGAAGTAGTTTGTATTCTCTCTCATAGACTCATTATTAGGAGTTCCCATAAAATTTTTATCATGATCTCAACGTAGAACCGTTTTACCACATGATCAAATTTTCGGGGATTCGCAAACTGCAAGACATCATCTATATTATCCAAATATCTCTTTGTTAGAAATATCTCTCGATGACTAATACTGCGCAGAGAATGACTCATTGTGATGAACTACGAATTGAAAAGCGATTATAAGGACTTTTTCAACAAAATCAGAATATCAATATGTCTCATTTTTCTTGTGGGTTTCTTGATTCTGGATGACATACCCCATTTTCCAAGAAAACATTAATTTTTTCCACGAATTTGCGCCTGGTGATTACAGCGCTAGTGAAACTGGTTCTCTCACGGTGTAAAAAAGCAATAATTACAATTTCGACCCATTTTTCCCCCATAAAACCCCGTCCTAATGCCACCGCTGCTCTCAGAAAACCTTCTTCCTCTTCTTATTAACCTCATTGCTAAAATTACATTTTTTGCACTGCGCTAAAGCATTAGTAATTACAAATGCTGCTCCTTTCCTAGAATGTTGATGTGTAGAAATCGATTTTTGCGATCTAATCAACATAAAATTACTTCGTACTTTTCGTGCACGTCTATAAGTTTCAAATTGATTCCAGCATTTTCAAACTCTCACAAAGCAGAAAGACCAAAAATGTCCAACAAATCCTTTACTTTCCATTCTTATTTGAATCTGATCGTGACGGCAATGCTATTACTCAAAGCTCAGACTGGAGCTTCCATCTGATTAGGACTTTTGCGATTTGTTCCTTTATTTTCAAATACGACAGACTGTTCGCTGAGAAGCTCAGCGCTTAGCCAGCACCTAGACTTTTATTCTGATCTTCTTTCCTTAGTCTGGGAAAATCTTATGAAAAATGCTGGGTGAAATCTGATTTTTAATATTTCCCACATCGCTGTTTTTGCTTATAAAAGTCTTCGCATAGACGCTAGCAGACCTAATTGTTGCTGAAGCACATAAATATGCGCGCTTCGATGTTGGCACTTTGCCAGGTTCTTTACGACATATACATTTTCCGTGTAAAGCATTGAATCTATTTATTAGGTCGGTTCAAAACTTTTGTCAATTTTTTTAAATGACCCGCAACTCCCGTACAGTATTATTTAACAAAATTCTCAAGCTGTATCCGATGCAGAATTTCTTCCCCCTTTCAGCTGCCATATCCATGATGTGATTTATTGAGAGAGTGCAGAGAAAATTGCTGGAAATACAACCCTTCGTTTTAACCATGTGTGACTTTCGCTCATTTTCACAATTTTGATCGGCGAATCTTGGGGGAGCTTTGATGACGCAGATAGAGCAACTTGTGCCAACTGAAGCGCTTTTTATAGTTCTGTGGCTTGTGATCCAGATTTTTTCGGAAGTAATCAAAATATTCACATTCGACCTATCCCAAGCTCGTAGAACATGAAGTGGTGAACAGTGGTACCGTTCGTTGTAGCTTTTTCTTCTCTTTCTGATAGTCGTCTTTTCTTGGCGAAATATGCGATTTGTGGGGAAAATCGCATTATTTTTCATCACGAGTGCGCACTGACGTTCCCAAAGTAAACAGTAATATTTAAAGCGAAATTCGATTCATGTACTTTGTATGGCTAGTAATAGGTAACAAAGAAGTGTTGAAACCTCTGTGCTCTGAATATTTTGAGGTATTTGGTACAATACAAGCCATGCGATTGTCAAAACCCGAGTTAAAAAATTATTTGGCAACATTCTGGAAAAGTAGCTGAGAAAAGAAAAAAACTGCTTCAGTTGACAAACTTGCTGACCGGCTCCCCAAAAGTATCAAATAAAAATTTTGAAAATTAGCGAAAGTTGGGCATGGTGAAAACAAAGGGTTATTTGCATCGATTATCTCAGCGTTCTCTGAACGAGTCACACTGAGGATATAGCAGCTGGAAGGAGAAAAAATTCTGCATAGGATGCAGCTCGAAAAGTTTGTTTATTTTTACTGTACAGAAATTCGTGGCCATTTCAAAAAATTGGCACATCTTTCAAACCGAACCAATTGATTTCGCCCCGTTGGATAAGTGAACTGCTTTCGCTTCACTCGGATATCATGCAAATAAAGCGAGATAGGTTTTTTCAACATCAAGAGAGAAAATAGCTGTTTACTATAGATCACTCCAGCGTAATGCTGTTGGGTCTAAACAAACAAAGCAGTTGATTTCAAAAAAAATTGCGGTAGGTCAAGTTAGTGAACTGTTCCGTGTTTTAAGCAAGTTTGAAAAAAATTCATAAGGAAAGGGAAGGAAGTTTGAAAATTTACTCTAAATGGTAAACGGCGCAAGACTAGGTCACAATGGTTCTATGCATAATTTGCGTAAACATCCTCCTTTGAACGATGCATAATTGTCATTTAGTTAGTAATACATACAGTTTCTGAACATGCTGTGTAATTCTTCTTTCTTTGCTCAAACTTATCAAAAGCTACAGTAATAGCTTACATAGTGGCAATTTCAAAAATTTCTGTCCTAGCACAAAGGTGCATTGGGGTTGGTTCAGGTTCATTTTCAAATTGCTGATAATTCGCCGTAATTTATTTCTGTTTTATCCGCTGTTCTCAAAGCGCACACATAAGTGGATCTCGAAACCCTGCATTTTTTCGTATCATTGAGATGCTAGTATTGCCAACAGTGAAAAAGTAGCCAAAAACACAAATCGCAGAAAATCGTTTCATTCCCTAACTTCAAGGTATTAGGTTATAAGAACCTGCCAATAGATATTAAGCTCAATTGTTTTATTTTATCTTCATCACGAGTGGCTGTTAACCATTGATGTTTTTTCTGTACAACAATCTTATAATTATGTATATCATGGATTATATTTCACAAGAAGTTCGCTGACAGCGTCTTTAAAAAGGTGGAGAGATCCATTTTTTGAACCTCAAAATTTGATGAGCTATCTCTTGCTTTGGAAGAGGCTCAAGTACGAAGCATGTAGTAGTTGGATGCAGCTTTATCTGATCAAAAGGTCAAGAGATTTCCAAATCAAGTTTCTGCAAGTTCTCGCATTTATAACCTGAAAATTGTTCCTTTTCGCAGACCTAAGTGCAACGGATTTTTCTCATTTCGGTATCTCTTCTCAGTATATCGTTGATTTTTTAAGCTGAATACGTGTTACTAAACACGCATCTCAAACCATCCTCTTGTATTAGCAGACAGTTTCGGTAAGTAATGGCGGAACTTTCTTTGAATCGTAATATATCTTTGCTTCAATATTTGATTTCAAGCATACTTTTCGCTAGTATTGGATCACTCTCACACTTTTCCTGATATTCTAGTTGCAGATTTGAAGAGGAGCTGTTTGTGTTGTCTTCCTTTACTCTTTGATAATTACGAAACATATGAGTTTTAGTTGAGTGCTAACATAAGCTGACAATAATGATTAGGATCGTATTTGAAGCAATCAACTTGCAAGAATTGCAATATCCTTCTATCCCTCACGCATCCCAACAGCATATCTTGTCCCATTTGAACACTGCAAGGCTTCAATATCCTGGGAGCTTTTGTATCAACTAAACACAAGCATGATTTTGCCTTCAATCGCTCTCGAACGGCTATATGTAATAATTTGCAACTAAAGAAAATTTTGTACGTCTTCCTTTGATCTTAATGAAATGTTCTTTTACTCCGGAGCTTACTTTTGGGCTTGGCAACTTTGAAACACCTATGCCGATGGGCATGTCGACCTCTACCGCATCCTGCCTCCTCTGATCGTATTCATCAACGACCCAGTGGGTAAGCAAAAATAATGCTACTGAGTTGAATCGATATTCACAAAAAGCATTGCTGGGTTTGCGAACACACTAGCTTCGTGAATACCGATAGTGGGTTAAGCCTACCCAATGGGTTCCGGAACCCACTGGGTTCGTTGATAAATACGGCCACTGAACGTATTGAGCAATGTTTCAATTTAAGATTTTTCAAAGAAATTCGGTTGATTACTCAGTTTATGATAGTTTGACCCTTCTATAGTATCGCGTCAAAAATTTCGCCACGGAACGGGGGTGGAAGATGCCTTCAAGAGATTTGGGACGCTGGCAACGTTGCACTGCGGCGATTGGCTGACTGATACAAGCCATTCATGTCCATCGACTCCACCCTTTAGCGTGGGTAGGGGACTATATGTCGCCGATAGGCTCCACCCCGCGCGAACAGGTGATACAAATCGCTGGTGTCTGTGATGTGTATGGCTGCGTGGTCTGTTTTAGATGCCCGCGTGGGACCACTCCATTCGGAAACATATAGCCCTCTATCCTTTAGCGTTTCTCATGTTCAGAAGAGCAAAATTGCCACTTTTCGGAGTTAAATGTTACATTGCCGATCAATAGTGAACGCATAAAAGCACGAAAGCGCTTTCGGCAGTCTTTGCCTTTCTCTGCTTCAATACTAACTTGTACTGAGCAGTTATGTAACCGGCTCGCAACTTAGCCTGGATCTTCGCTCATTCAGGCTCATTCGTTGAACTCTGACCGGTTTTTGTCCCTTCACGCCTACGAAGCAAAGGTCAGTGCCCAAATCCGGTTTGTGTATGACGAACGAATATTGTCCCGTACCATACGTGCACTGAAATTCGCTGAAATTGCTTTTGTCCACTTTTTCATCGAAAATAACAGTGTCCGTTGAGGCTGTGTTGGGACACTAATCATCGCTCGCTGTGATATGAACCCAAGCGGAAAAAAACGAATTGTTCTATTTTCATTGATGGTCGTTCCATCATCGATCTTGTCCACTTCTAGCATTATGCTGAGATAAAAATGTTTGACTTTTGATCTAACAGAGGTTGTTTATTGATTTTGAGGGGTCTTTCTTGAAAAAAGCATTCTTTCGGTTTGCTATCCTGTCATTTCCCACATTGTGGATCACAGGAAGGGCAGCACAAGCATTTCCCAAAAGTTCACTTGCATCATTTTCAAGATTAGGAATTTCTAATTTTTCCAGCCGAATTGAATGTTTATTCTTGTTCAAAAGAGTAAATCATTTTCTTTATAGCAGTATCCGAGCGGCTTTCTAATACATTGTAGAGGTGGAAGCCGTAGAAGAAAATTACTCAAATTTTGATTTTCCTAGGTAGGGTTGCCAAAAATCTGAAACTTGCTTTAGAAATCAAACGGCTCATATTATAGATTCTATAGCCAGTTCTTTCCACCCGAGCAGAAATTCTGTTGTAGAGCTTATTTTGAAAAATTATGATTTTCGAGCGAGCAGTAGAAACGGCCATTGATCTTTTGGCCTTTTTCTCGAAAGTCGTAACTTTTCAAAGAAAAGCTCAAGCAACAGAATTTATGATCGAGTGGAGAGAACTTGGCATAGACCCTATGATACTGACAGTCAATTTTTGGTGCAAGTTTCAGATTTTTGGCATCCACAGAAATACCAGAAAAACACAGAAAAATACACTGAGAAATCAAAACTTGAGCAGTTTTCTTCTATGGCTTCCATCTCTGCGTGCTTAGTACAAGCGCTAGGATACTGCTATGATTTTCACAATTTTCTCTTCCGAATAAAAATGGAAGCAAATTCGAAAAGATCACAAGTTATGAACTTTTGAGTTGCAAATGAAGTTTTGGGACAACCTAAAAATAAACGCTCATAAAACTGCAACAAACAAAACAGATTACAAATGTTTGTTTCTTTCTAATAGACAAAAGCATTTTACGTATGATTTAGGCACATTTAGAATGTATGCTTTTGGCTTTAATAGAAATGAGTAAGTTTCAACGCAAGTTTCTAGTAGTTCTGGGTGGAGAAAATCTTGTGAAGCAATGCCTAAGCCAAAAGGTATTGTTGAAAAATGTCCCAACCCTTGATAAAGAAAGGCACTGCAATTTTGCATTTCGAAATGAATTCTATGAGTTATTCCTATCTAAAAATCTTGAAATAACATACACGTAGCATAAATCAAGCGATTAAGATCTTTGCATAGAACTAAATGCAAGAAAAAAGATTGGAAAATGAATGTTTTCTTATTACACCTAATATGGATCATCCTTGCATTATATCAAGCCCTCGAGGAGGATAATTGGTGGATCACTGAAACTTTTCCAATTTTCCCACGTTTAATCGAATACTGAAAGAATAAAAATAGGCATATATGCACTTTGCATAGCATGTGATAACAGTGAGAAATATGAATTTGATCGATCGCACGGCTCAACTGTTGTAGACGACCATAAATTGTTCGATGTTCAGGAAAAAAATGTTTCAATCCTTCTTTGGAGAGCACTTGGGTTTGATATAAACAACTGTTTTTTTCACAATTCGTTTTTCTTGCGTTAAATTACTGCTATTCGTGGAACAGCACCGAGTGGCTTATAATCAGATTTTATCTGCTTTTCCTTTACGTGAATGGTTGGAAGATGGTTACATATGGAGCAAAGCTTTTATTTTAAGTCTTAATATCATAGCTAATTGAAAGTTCTGTTGCAACGTTTTAGAAAATAATAGCTTCTTTCATCACTATAGCTTTTCATGGCTTCTATTCTATTAGCATGAATAAGCCATGTATCTTCTAATAACAACTTAATTACTCTCCGATAGGCTACAAATTGAGGAGACAGAATTAGAAAAAGAAGATTACCGTGGCTTGGTGGCTTTAAGCAGGTCCGCTAAATATCTCAAAGAAGGTAGTAGATTCCAAAGTAGTTAGTGTACACTTTTGTGGGAGAGGGTAGAGGCGCGATTTATTCGGCTGGCACCAACTTAAAACTCCAATTTCGTACTATGGGAGGGTTCAAAAAATACCGGACAAAGCCCACTGACCTACTAGCTGTTTGATGTGATCATTAGATAATCACATGGATTGTTAGATCTTGTCATCTTGAAATCGATTCCAAACAAAGTTGTGGAAGCCATGCAAATGCAGTTAACAGCAGTTTTGTAGATATTCCGGTCAGTTTTCTAGCAAAAGTCGTCAAACTTTATCAATTTTTGAGGTTTTAAGTTATTTTAGAACTTTATAAAGCACTAAATATGTGCTATATGCTGTCCATCTGGCAGTAAAAATCGCGCCTCTTGACATACAGACACTTTTGTGACCCTACTCTTTTCCGGGGTTTTCTGAGAACTTATAATTTTTGGGGAAATTCTCTAAAAATGTTTCCTCCTTTTGCGCTGTTCTCTTAAATCATAACTTTTTATGGTGAGGCCCAACCATCAATACTTTTTTGTTAAAAGAAGTAGGTCACTTACGATACCAAAATTACATACTTCACTTAACCTTCCTCAATATCGCCAAGCCTCCGGTATTCCTTTTCTTCAATTATATTTTCACAAGTAAAGCTTTTCAGGGCGCAACCGAGCCAGAAAGTATATGATTCACTCCTATGAGACGAAAGATGCAAGACTACTATAAATGAAAGAATCTATCACCTTTTTAAAAATAAGTGGCAGAACTTTTTGTTCCCCTTAGACGATGTTTTTTGTCCTGCCATTTTTTAGCAGTTCTGGTAAAAGCAAAGGGGTCTTTGAGACCTTTTTTTATAAATAAACTTTGATAGACGATCAAATAAAATCGAGTAAGGTAGTGAAATTCTTTTCTTTCCTTCGTTCTTCACTACTGAATGCACTCATCTCACTTTTTACTACAGGAAGTGGTTTTTTGGTCAATCTATACTTACATTGCTTTTGATTGCAAGTTTTGTCGACATTTCCGTAATGCTGATTGCCTATGATATCACTATTTTATGCTCTGTATTTTCAAGTAAAAGACCTCAAACGCATAGACTCGTCGAAGTCAGCACAACCGAAAAAAAAAACATTTTGGGTGTTCAGGCATACAAGAGCTAATTGATAAATCAATTTACCTATTCTTCGGAGTCTTCAGCTAAACTCGGTCCTAGGTTTCGTGTTTACATGTCTTTGGCGAAGAATCAATTGAGTTAATTTGAATCATTGTGCTATTTCAGGAAGTTATTGCCAGAGAAAGTTCGCAGCTGTTTCATCAAATCTTATATTTATATTGAGTTGGCTAAAAATTATTTCGTTTTGACATGAGAATCTTTATGTAAATTCCCCTAGTTGTTCTTTATCCATGATTTTTTGTGGGTAAGTAATTCAGAGCTTTTTCGGCTAATCAGTATCCTCAATCATCAGTAAGGCACAGTTGTGCCCCGACTTGGCGAAATCCCAAAAGCTCGATTCTGTGATTTTTAAAAATTCCTTTTCATGCTGTAATGGATGTAGAGAACAGCAATTTAGTGCTAATATAAAGACAAATTTTCCTTATTCAACGAATATCAATAAAAACTGTGATCTTCCACTCTGAATTTTTTGATAAAAAGACGAAATATTCTCACGTTTGCTCACGATGAGAAAATTGGGGTTTCTCACTTCTTTGCGGATGTTTTTTTTGCAAAATGAATTCTACTCAAACAGATTCTATGTTCCAATTCTCACTGGAAATGCTCCTTCCAGAGATACCGAAAAGTGGACAAAGAGGGGGCAAAAGCAACCAAATTCATTTATTAGCCAACCTAATACAATTCTCCTCTAGAGCATAGGGTACCAAGCGCGATTCTACACTAAAGATGCTGTAAAGGCTAGTCCTTGGACCATGTACAGGTTTTTACGGCTGATCGCAATGGAAAGATTTTTCCTGATGTCATTTTTTTCCATCCATACTTAGCCTTTGCTAACAGAGTTCTTTGATGAATATCTTTTTGTAATAACAAGAAATTTAGCATTGGCTTTTCTTCGGAGACTGAAATCAAAATAAAGTAGTGCTCTGCTCCTCTAGCTTTGTAGTCATTTCTCCTTTTTAAGTCAAGCTTTCATCTCTCCTTTTCATTTGATAAAGTCCTTGTTTGTTCGCCCTTTGTCGCACCTTCGTGTGCAAAAAGAATCCTGTAACATGATTTTCAGATGATTCGGGAAGAGCTGTCCTCTATACGACCTGAACATTTGTTTCCCGTCTGCGTATTGTTCGGTATCTTCTTCCTCTCCTTAGCCGCATGTTTATTTGACTGCTGGAGAGAAAGACATCGACAACTGGAGGTTCGTACAACTTTTCGTACAACAAAACTTTTTGGTCCGCTAATTTGGAATTCCTTTGCAGGAATTATCATTTCAAGGTCGGCCACTACCGCAAATCAAAGTAACAGACGGTAATACGGGTGAAGAAAGAATTGTAACTGCTCATTGAAAAGATCTCAACTTTTCATGCGTGTACAATAAAGTAATTTACTCTACGTCAAGCATGTGATATTTGCTGCTCAATTATCCAGGACTTGCGTTGTATGGAAAATCATTTTGATTTGTTGGTTGTGCCATAAAATATGTGAGCAATGAAGAATGTAAGAATTATGTTAGAAAAATCAGATTACATGTATTTGATGATTCCAGGAGGATCTCAATTGAGTCTTAATTCCAGGATGTTATAATAAATATTGGAAACTCCCCGGGCGTTAACCACTTCCAGATTCTCCCCTCGTCAATTCTTGTTTGATATGCTCTGTGGTAAAGAAGTGAACCTTGCAACTTAAACCATTTTGAAGTTACCCAGTCGTTGCGCAAAATTTCGATAGGTTCCTTGAACCCCCATGCTGTAGAAAATCCCCAGTTCATCAACTTTGAGTTGGTTAAAAATATCAAGACGGAAAGCGTGGGTAACCAAATATGTGTTTCCTATCCAACTTTTTTGTTCGAAATTTTTCGAAAACTTGTTGAAAAAAGAATGTCTATGTGACTTTCCTGCACCCTTTCGCCTTTTGAGAAATTTCTACTCAGATAGAGTTGGCAATTCGATTCTCTTGGAATTACTAGCGCCATACTAGTTTTTAGTTGAAACAATTCGCATTCCTAATTTACGTAGTTAGTGAAAAGTCTTGTTTCAGTGAGTCATTTTAAGTTTTCTTTTCGCAGAAAATTCATATTATGTACGAATGCGTAAAAAAGTCCAATAAATATCCTTTTGAATACTGTTAAATACACATAAACTAAACATGGATATGAGACGCATTAAGGAGAGTTCTCAAAAATAGTGATGAGCACAAGTTGTGCCGTAATTAGATATTGCAATATCACGCTTTCGGGTGGGGGAACGAAAGCCGCCAGGTTCAGCCGCCTTTCGCGGCCAGCTGGTCCCTTCGCAGCGTTGTTGCATGTCGTTCCAGGACCAGCAGTCCGCGGAGGCGGCTCAAACTGGCGGCTTTCGTTCCTCCACCCCACGCTTTCTAGGAGAAAAGCTCCGAATTTCTACTTGTTTAGACAGTAACCTCTCGATCAAAATTCGGTATATTCGGAATTTCTCGCGACAACCTTAGTTGTCCTCAGTCATTCTGTCGCGACAAAGTTCCTCTTGAGTAGCGTTAACTGCGAATGTCTGAGGAGCAATCAAAAGCGATTTTCGAGGTCCACGAAGCTGGAAGCAAGATATTTAAGCGGAAGAAAAGATACTAATCCGATGCACGCACGGGTAAAGAGCAGGGTAGTAAGAGGTGCGGCACATAACCGAAGGATACGACCCCTCCTCCCTCCCTAAGTTTCATCCCAATATCCCCCCTGCATTTTCGTTACCTACCGTAGGCATGACATAAAGGCTGTAACTTACTCCTTTACTACCTTACTTCTTTCTCTCTTACTCTGACTTACTCTTACTCCCTTACTCTTACTCTTGCCTACCTCTAACTTACATAAAGGCTGAATTCACTAATCATGACAAATCCACCCCAATAACTTGGAAATGTGTGTGTGTGTGTGTGTGTGTGTGTGTGTGTGTGTGTGTGTGTGTGTGTGTGTGTGTGTGTGTGTGTGTGTGTGTGTGTGTGTGTGTGTGTGTGTGTGTGTGTGTGTGTGTGTGTGTGTGTGTGTGTGTGTGTGTGTGTGTGTGTGTGTGTGTGTGTGTGTGTGTGTGTGTGTGTGTGTGTGTGTGTGTGTGTGTGTGTGTGTGTGTGTGTGTGTGTGTGTGTGTGTGTGTGTGTGTGTGTGTGTGTGTGTGTGTGTGTGTGTGTGTGTGTGTGTGTGTGTGTGTGTGTGTGTGTGTGTGTGTGTGTGTGTGTGTGTGTGTGTGTGTGTGTGTGTGTGTGTGTGTGTGTGTGTGTGTGTGTGTGTGTGTGTGTGTGTGTGTGTGTGTGTGTGTGTGTGTGTGTGTGTGTGTGTGTGTGTGTGTGTGTGTGTGTGTGTGTGTGTGTGTGTGTGTGTGTGTGTGTGTGTGTGTGTGTGTGTGTGTGTGTGTGTGTGTGTGTGTGTGTGTGTGTGTGTGTGTGTGTGTGTGTGTGTGTGTGTGTGTGTGTGTGTGTGTGTGTGTGTGTGTGTGTGTGTGTGTGTGTGTGTGTGTGTGTGTGTGTGTGTGTGTGTGTGTGTGTGTGTGTGTGTGTGTGTGTGTGTGTGTGTGTGTGTGTGTGTGTGTGTTCCGAATAAAAATTTTTATTTCTGATTCGATCCGGACCAAACTTGGCATACATACCCTACAGGATGGGGCGTTGTCGTGGTCAAAATCTTCGTTATCAATCGATATCGATTTTATCCATTCTTGCAAAGTTTGAGCTACGGAATTGGGAGTTAGCGAAGCCGGGTTTGCCAGCTAGTTTCTGATAACAACAATGTTTTGAGGTCATGGGATTTGCGATAAACCACATGTCGAAGGTTAGTGTTTATCGAAAATTCCGATATTCTAGTATCATTTGTTCTTATCAGCAATATGCTTAGCACTGTTGGGTTTGATAATCAATACAGCTTTGAGATATTTTCATTAACAATGAAGGGAAAAAAAACGACATTGAAGGAAAGACGCCGACCGCCGGATATCAGTAGAGGATCACACAAAAAAGCTGGGAAATGCGGCAACTTTCCCCCTTCCTTCATCATATTTTCAGCAAAGGGTGAACAGAAACATTTGACAATAGATAGACGGCATGAAATCCAAAACTCCGTGACTAGAATCTCTCTTCTAAGCTGCGATTCCCACCCAAGCGGGATGTTAATGCATGCGGCCCTTAAAGGCAGCGTCCCGGCAAAAAGACGAGCACCCAAATTTTACAGTGTTGCGGTGGCAGGCATCCAACTAATCTATCATTGAAGTTTGGAGCGAAAAGCTCGTCTGAAAAGCCTAAAATCCATTCTGGAAGTCTTACGGACCACGCCCATTTACACGTATTTTGCAGCGAACGAGCACATGGAAAGTTTCGAAAAAGGCTCATTTTTTCGGCCTAAGCTAGATGTTAAGGCATGCGGCCCTTATAGGCACCGTCCACCCAAATTCTCGACTTACATGTTTTTGTCTCTTCCGGGCCTTACGAAGGCCCTGATTTCGAATATGAAGTCGAGAATCCCAAAAATCCCCATTTTGGAGAAAGCGGGACGGGTGGAAGTGCAGTTTGCAGGGCTGCAGCGCGGTTATCGCCCGGCGTATATCAGCGCCGCAGCCCCCAAAGCTGCAAAATGGGCGGAGTGACCACCTTTGGATCACGTATCACGTACCTTCCAGAGCGGATTTCTCGCTCCGGAAGCAACCTTTTGCGGGGAATTTTGGGGGTTGGCCTAGTGTGGGGGCCCACATTAGTATGCCATTGAATTTCGTGAACCCTCACTTTGGGTGGACGGTGCCTTTAATGCTGCTGATAGGGATATGGGAGCTTGTTGATCAACCAAGTTTGTACTGAAATAAGTCTAAGGCAGCACTTGGCTAAAACCGTTTCGAGGTGTTGAAAGGCTGACAAGAGTTACTCATTCATTAGTGAAAAATGAAGTATAATTCATCTACTGCTTTTGTAGTGGTGAGATGGGATTGATTTTACGCCTACGATCCGTGGTGATGAATTTGCATAAACCGGCGTGCTGACTTTCGAATTATAAAGTATATGTTGGACCTGAAATTAGATACATCTGATACATCCCTCCAGAACAGATAATTACTACTCTTTTCAATCTCTTACTCCACATAATTCTGTTGCGACGATAGCTAAGATCGACTAATACTTTTTACTGATAATGCTCGATTTCAATACGCATTAGAAAGATTTTGAATGTCGATTACGAGTTAGGCTTTGGCCATACTTTGCCCGTGTTGCCAATGTTTCCAGTGTTACTCGTGTTACCGGTGTTGCCGATGTTTCCAGTGTTACTCGCATACCTTCGATACATAGAGCCACGTACTCTGGTAACCTTCACTTTGAGGGCTACGGGGGGACACAACCTTCACCTGGAAAAAAACAGAAGTCATCCGGGGCTTCGTCCCGGATGTTATTATCCTGACTATATCGGAACGAATGTTAACGAAGCAAATATAGAGAATAATATCTTTAGCTTATCTCAGCGAAACCGAATATTTGCGTTTTCATAGCCTTTTTACCTTAAAAGAAAGGTTTCTGTGGAATCTTCGCCAGAATTCAAGACAAAATTTCTCAGTGATCCTCTCATTTGAATAAAATCGAGTTTCAGAAGTTTAGGAAAGCTATTGGAGTCAAATAAAAACGAGAAACTGCGCTTAAATCTTGCGTAGAGAGTCGCGCACAAAAACGCTGGTCTGTCTCGTTAATGAGTGATTTTCAAAGCTTGGGACGTTGTCAGTTCTCCTCGCCGTATCATGACGATCAGAATGATATATAATAATGCAGGGTTTCGTTGAGACCTCGCGGAGACTACTACCAGAGCCAAATGCCCCGTCGGCTCTGGTCTGTCTCCGCTTCTCGTCTGCGTCTCCGCGCGCTGCGCGCTACCTCGCTACCCCAAACGCGGGGCGCGGGGCATTTGGCTCTGGTACCCTTTTCTTCGCTGTTTCGAACCAAATTTTTGCAAGATATATATCATTTTGAAGCTCTTGATCTCTATTTTCACGCCGTCCCAGAATCATATTTTTTGATCTGATCGAGAAATCCGGCAAAAACCTTGTTTTCGAAAATCTCTTGTTTTTCTCCTAGTTTAACTATTTTCACGCGGTTTTTTCGTGCATTCCATAAATCTTGCTTCTGTTCATAATGCAGACAACCACCCAGCCCGTACCTCTTCGATTATGATGGAATTTTTTGCGAAAAATCGTAAAAAGTGCGTTTTTCTTTATCTTGTTCTGTTTCACTGCTTTCGCATCGATTTTTTTCCAGCTTGGGTGATTATTGCTCAGAACAATAAGCGCAACAATCCAGACAACGTCTCAGGAAACAGGAAGTCAATGCGGGGATAAAAATTCGAAGGACGCATCAAAAATCAAAACCCCGTGTTGCGAATTGCTGGTCTTGGAACGAAAACTTGCACTCTGAAAAGCCGCCAAATGAAAGACTTCAGACTTTTTTGCAGCGTTTTTATCCGGTTTCTCAGCAGTTTCTTTTGCTTTTTACATCTGTTTTACCTCATATTCTCTTCTCTGATCCTCTTTAAACAACCTTCACTATTTAAGACGTCAGATGTTCAAACAACCTTCACTTTTGACGCCCTGTCTCTAGACTATCGAAGGTATGGTTACTCGTGTTGCCGATATTACAATGTTATCGAGAAAATGAGACTGTGCTGGCGATCATTTTGAGAATCAACAGCAATAAAGGCGGTAACACCTAGAAACACGAGTAACACTGGAAACATCGGCAACACGAGTAACATTGGTAACATCGGCAACACCGTAACACGAGTAACACTGGAAACATCGGCAACACGGGCGAAGTATGGCCAAAGCCTTAGAGGACTTGAATGTTTTTTGGCTTTTTTGCACATACTTTAAATCTAGGCACGGCCTAGGCAGCTGAGATTGCAATAAAATTCAAGGCCACTCAGGAGAGTTTGAACATTTTTTTGAGTGTACCTCCAAATTTGAAGTGATGTAAACAATGGCATTGGCTGCTGAGTTCAATGTGACGCAAGCTGAGACCACAATAAAGTACTCCAGTCCTCTAACACCAATCAGTACAGGAAACACTCGAAATGAGATCCAACCACACAAGTAAAACACAGAGATTACACAAAATTGCAGTGCGTATCTGAAGCAGCATTATAGTTTCCTTGTTGAGCTATTTTGCTTGATTACCTGTACTCCTTAATTCGTTTCCCATTCTCAGCAGCGTCGACTGTGTATGAATGCCTCATCTTTCGTACGTAGAGAATGATCTGAATGGGCCTCATAAGCGAACACCTGAGGTACATGTTATAAGGCTCTGCGTGATCACGAGAGTCTGTGAGTTTGCGGCCACCGCACGCGGAGCTTTCCCGTTTATCTTTCTCCTTAAACGCTTTTCTGCTATTAGATGTTAGCTTCCAATTACCTGGTACGTTTTTAAAAAGTAAGATATTGTTCAACTGCTTGAAGCCTTGGAGATGCTGCGTAATCCGCAATCTCACCCACTCTAGCGATCACGCAGCTCCCTATACAATTGATGCTCACATAAACATAACATGCAGCACAAATAGCCGATGATGACGAGTTCAAAGGCAAGTCGATGTACATATTGGAGTAGTTGGGAACGTCATCCTTGGCAGTATAGGAATAGGAAAGGTATTTGTGGTCAAAAGAGATTCTGTAAAATTGGTTTCAGTATCAGCTGTCGCGTATGTCCAGGCACTATGAGCGCACTATCCTCAGGCACTATGAGCGACTACTTTCACTTCCATTTATGTTATTTTTGTGCACCTTATTGCAGAGACGAGTTATGGTTAGAATTGAGCAAGAGGGCAGGCACAAGTCTTTCGAGAACGATCCTCCGCCCCTCCCTGAAAGCCCCCAAACAATACTTCTTCCTACTCTTCGCTCCCGGAACCTTACAGTGTGACATTCTGGAAGACATTATCATGTCCTAAAAAGTCTTCCGATTTGGAAGTCTGTACGCCAATTTTCTGTGGCTGCATCTTTACGAGAACACATAATTTGAATGGACCTATTGAGAGAGCCGTAATTTTCTCGATGGTGGGTTATTCGGCTCCAATTTTTACTGTAGCAAGAAGAGGCTATGAGCTCAGCATTCATATCAGGAACGCGGGGGTCAGATCAAGGCTACAAGAGCTCAGAAAATGACGAGAGGTATCCCTATCAACTTTATCTCCGAAAAAGTATTTCCACTCAAGTTTCATATGGCTACAATGAGTGTCTGAGTTAACCTTGACTTGTTTCTGCTTTGTGGTAATCCGTGGAGTTGAAGCCTTCAAGGCAAAATACGCGGCACTGATTTGGCAGCACTTTATGAAGTCTTGTTACTAGTATAGACTGACAGAGAATGTTAGTTTGTTATGAAAAAAGCTGACTTTTTTCACTTTAAAAACTAAGTGAGTCGTAAGTTAAATGCTCTTTTGTCTTTTAATCGGGGCATAGTAAGATGTCAGTAGAATAACTGTGCCAGTAGTTTATGCCTTCAAGTTCTGTGGTGAAGACTTCATTGACCTTATGTTTCGACAATTTCGTCGTCATTAGAGGTCTGAAAACGGATTTTAAGCTCTTTGACTTGACCATACCTTCGAGCGCCTCTTTTCACTCTGTTCTGGACCAAGTCTAAGACTCCCAGCATGAGATCCTCAAAGTCACGAAACGAACGAACCTCGTTTGAGCTTGCTAAGCGTCGACCAAGATATCAGCCACACTTTATTCACGGCCAACGTTTCGGCGGGAACGAACCTCGACTCCACCGGCTAGCGACATGCCCGCACATTTGGTCGTAACGGACGTCACCGCGTGTCACCCAATAAGTCAAATCCTTTTATGTGCAACACTAAGCACACATAATGATATGAATGGAGCTAAATCACTACTGATAGACGGCTGATCACTGCTTTGTGACATTCATTTTTGGATTTCTGACCGAGATCCACGCGGCTTCAAATGGTTTCCTGGCGCAAATCTCAGTCTCGCATGTAAGTATCGTGCAAGATGAATGTCAAAAATGAGTGCTTGTCTATCAGTAGTGACTTAGCTCCATTCATATCATTATGTGTGCTTTATTGCACATAGAAGACTTGACTCTGGGGTAACACGCGGTGACGTCCGTTACGACCAAATGTGCGGGCATGTCGCTAGCCGGTGGAGTCGAAATTTGTTCGTTTCGTGACTTTGAGGTCATGCTGGGAGTCTTAGACTTGATCTAGAACAGAGTGGAAGGAGGCGCTTGAAGGTATGGTGAGCAAGTCAAATAGCCTACAATCCGTTTCCAGGCCTCCCATGACGACGACATTGTCGAAAAGTAAGGTCAATAAGTCCCCACCACAGAGTCTGATGGCACAAACTACTGACGCAATTACTCTACTAAGTGAATCGTCTCTGTAAATCACGCTTTTTAGACATTACGAAACACTAGAAAATGTAGTAGGTGATTTTTTGTAGAGCTCGTAGAGGTAATTTGACATACTGACTATGGAAGTCATATCTAATCTACGCAGAAAGCATCTTTGATAATTCTACGGCATGCGTAAGGTAAGAGATGGAAATTCGAAATTTGGCTGAGACTTCGATGGCGGAGTTAATCAGTTTGCTGTTCTCGACCGCTATTACTTCAATTCTGGTGGAGTTGTGAGATTCACGCCTAGCGCTTTCTTCAACCTACTCGATTGTAGTTTCGTTGAATTTTTTTAATGAATTCTATTCTTACTACGACCCCCAGTCTTATCCACAACACGACATCCCAGGTCGGGCGACCTCACGCTCTGCTCTGGTCATGGGATAGGTAGCAAGCTATGCTTTAAACGTTTGGATAATCTTTCTGCGCTTCATACCTCCGATAAATAGAGGCACGTACTCTGGTAACCTTCACTTTAACGTCATGACAGAACACGATCTTCACTTGGAGAAAACAGAAGTCATCCAGGGCGAAGTTCCCGATATTGTGACATAACTATATAGAAGTGAATGTGAATGAGGCAATTAAGTGACTGATATTTTCGAAAAAAGCACATGAAAGATTGCGTTTTTGTAGCCTTTTCTGCTTAAAAAAGGTTTTTATCCGAAAATTTCTCTGGGATTTAGGATGACAATTCCCAATTAACCTTTTCATAGGCTACGATTGAGTTTTAGAAGTTAGCTGTTGGAGTTCAATAAAAACGAGAAATTGCGCGTGAATTTTTCGCAGAGGGTCGCCACTCAAATGCTGGTTATCTCGTTGTGGAGTGATTTTCAACATCCGGGACGTTGTCAGTGCTCCTGACCGTGCCATGAGGATCACAACGATATATAATGCTGCAGGGTTTCGATGAGACCCCGCCGAGATCTAGGACCAGAGCCAAATGCCCCGTCGGCTCTGGTCTGTCTCCGCTGCTCGTCTGCGTCTCCGCGCGTTGCGCGCTACCTCGCTACCTCAAACGCGTGGCGCGGGGCATTTGGCTCTGGTACCCTTTCCTTCGTAGTTTTCAATTTAACTCTAGCAAACTGCATGTTGTATTGAAGCTCTTGACCTCTACCCTCACGCCGACAATGTCGCGGATCTTCATTTTCTGATTTGAGAAAGAGATCTAGCAAAAACCGTGTTTTCGGAAAACCCTTGTTATCTCTTCAGTTTAGCTCTTTTCAAGCGGGTTTTTTGCGCATTCCATAAAGCTTGCTTCCATTCATAACGTAGACAACGTCGCGGGGCTAACTTCTTCGATTGTGGTAATTTCTAGTAGAAAGGTGCAAGAAGTGCGTTTTTGTTTATAGGCCTTTATTGAAGCTAGTAAGCAACCATTTCTTACATGCTTGAGGGCATTTTGCCCAGATTATGAGCACAACAAAGCTAACAACGTTGCTAGAAAAGAAACTACGAGAAGGGGCTGAAAATTCAAAGGACGCATCAAAAACCAGGTTGTCTTTACGTGCATTTCGACTCGAGAAAGAAACAAAACTTTACGTTTTCATAAGTGAATGTTTTTCGTTTAGTCTTCTTGATAAGCGACCACTTCCAAAATATGTTTGTATAAAACAATCGCAAAGAACAAATTAGCTTTCCTTCGTTTTCCCCGTGCTATGGATTGCCTGGTCCTGTAGCGAAAACCTTCAATTCATACCGCTAAACGAAAAGTCTCAAACTGATTGCAGCGTATTTTTCAGTATTTCGAAATTATCCTTCGCTTTTGCTATTTTGCGTCTTTCTCTCTCCTTTGATTTCCTATGAACAATTTTCGTTTTTAATGGGGGGCAGATAGGCAGACACTCAAACGACCTTCACTTTTGACGCCCTATCTCTAGACTATTGAAGGATTGAAGGTATGCTGCGCCTTCAAGCTTCATACAATTGCTACACTTTCTGCTTTTTCCTTTTATTGTATTCGCTTATCATATGAAAAAAAAAGCAACAATGTTTTTTTATTTAGCAGTGACCTCTTAATTGTATTCTTTGATTCTTCAGAAGCATAAATGCATGCTTCTACCTCATAGGGAATGAAACACAAGAACTTTCTTCAGAGCAATCGCTTATAAGAGAAAAAGCTTTTTGACTCACTTGCAGCATGGGCTGACATACTGAGATATCCATGCTACAATACCTGCTATTGGGAAAAGGATAATGACTATAATGAGCACATTCCGATAGGAGAAGAATCGATTTGAATGTATGCAAATCACACATACTCTCAAATATTCTTTTCTTAGTACGTCACGATAGACCTTTTTCGGATCTCACCTGTTGACAGCCATGAGAATTTGTGCCACTGATCCATAATACCAACAAAATAGAAAGACAGCTCCGAGAAATTGCAGAAATTTGTTATGCCTATCTCCCTCGAAAAGCCAGCTCTGAAGGAAGATAACGATGTAACAATAAATGTGGTGGAAGTTAGTTCAATTTCGCTGACATCGCTTATTATGGATGGGACGAGATAGGTGATGGCAAGTATGAGTTGTATACAATCGCAGAGCAGGTTAGCGGTGGAAATCAAGTAGATTGGGCTACTACGTTTGAAAACTCCCAGTTTCACAACGGCAAACATCACAGTCGTCGTTAATAAGAGCCCAGCAAATGTCAATATGCCGAGTAGCACTCCCATCCAGAATTTCGTTGTCATCTGTAACATTGAGCCTATATAATTAGAGGACGTTTTTTCATACTATAAAAATTTCGACTGCCTTATCCAACGAAAAGCGCTATGTATATATTGAGCTGGCGCGAAAGTTCCTGCGTAATTCGAACGAAATTCGATAACTTTTAAAATAGTAAACCTAAATTTGTAGTTTTTCTCTAAAAATAGCATAAGATTCGTGCCCTAAAGATGCTGAACCGAGCTTTTTCTAATCTAGCTATCGAGAGAAGTTTTGAAATTTGGCGTTACATATTTTGAGATTTTGATTTTATGCCTGAAAATTTCGGAAACTCGCTAGTTAACCCGGAAAAATCTGTAAAAACTTCTTCTGTAGCAGTATTCCATAAATTACCGTGACAGGCCCCCGTTTTGCATGAAATTGCGAATACAAAAATCTCATGAAAAATGCCATTCTGCAGAGAAAATCTCCTTATTACTGCACTTTTCAGCAAAAACTTTGTTTGAAACTCAAAAAAAGTTACAGTGTTTCATGTACGCACTAAGTGAAATTTCTGGTTTCGGTTTTTATGAGGAACATGCAGTGATTAAGGATTTTTTGCACAAAATGATTTTCATAGAATCCATGCAAAACTGAAGCATGCTACAGTGATGTACGGCTACTGCTACAATACCAGCCACTATTCGATTCAGCTCGGCGCGGATAATCTTCTGATGTATTGGAAGTGGGGTTACGATGTCTTCGATATCCCGTTTCCAGCTTTCTCAAATTCTTCTGCGGAGGTCCTTTCGCGAAATGAAACGCGAAGCAGCGTTTATCCAACATAGAAGACTTATTAAGCACTTTCGATAATACTGTCTTTGTAGATTATTGTGTGCTAAAAATAGGCTCAGACTTTTTTTTAAAGGAAAAGAATCGTTGGTGAATTCTGGAAAAACCACGCATTTTTAAATTGTACTTGCCATAACTTCCTTCGGAATAAGTATCTTTTGAATCCGAAAACAGTGCTGTGCTCAGCTCATCAAGGCGAATCTTCTGATATACAGCATGTCCTTGATATTTCGATTTCAGTATTTTTGAACCTTTCTGCGGACGTCTTTTCGCGAAGGTAAAGTAGAGCAGCGAGCATTGTCCCCATTAAATTCCAGCAAGGATCTTTCGATAGTAGTTTTTCTGTAGATTATGATCTAAATAGTAGACGCAGATTTTTTTCAAAGGAAATAGAACGGCTGGTGAATTACGGAAAAATCTTGTGTCCCAAATTCTACTCGTCATAGCCCCAGGATACGAAGCTATCTTGCTAAGCATATGTGAGTTTCGAAATCAGCAGGTCGGGTAACCTCTATAAGCAATTTTTCGAGATGTTTTGGATTATTTCATTTTTTGTCGATTTACGCTCTGAAGCTCGCCGATGGATTTTGGTCAAAATATTGATGCTCTTGAATTGTAAAGAAACTTCGCTTATAAAGGTACTAACACGCTCTTTACGAAAATCGGGTCTTTGAGGCTTACAGGGTCTTTTTGGAAAGATACGGTGAGGTGACTGTGAGCATCACGAAAGTGCGTAAATTTGCCCGCATTTCTCGTGCATCTGTCAGGAAACTTGCCTGCTTGCTTTTCTGAGTTAATAGGAATTGTGCTATCGAATGGTGCATGACTCAGGCTCCAATCTATAAAAATCGCCAATTTACGAGCCTATGAAAACAAGTCTTCATAAATTTTGCCCAAAATGTAAAGATTCGTCGAGATTCCACCGTGAGTGCTTGTACAACACGCTGATCAAATCTTTTCACATCCTTAGTGGATCTTATTGTGTTAGATTTTGTAGTTTGAGCTCTAGCCACGAAATAGCTTTGATATCTAATCGAGCAGCTGAAGCACATGCAAGCACCATATTCAATACAGTGGGAGTCATTGGACGAAGCGAACATAATATCCGCAATGTGAGCGTCATACACTCAGAAAAGCAAGCAGGCAAGTTTTCTGACAGATACGCGAGAAGTGCGGGCAAAGTTACGCACTTTCGTGATGCTCACAGTCACCTCACCGTATCTTTCCAAAAAGACCCTGTAATCCTCAAAGACCCGATTTTCGTAAAGAGCGTGTTAGTACCTTTATAAGCGAAGTTTCTTCACAATTCAAGAGCATCGATATTTTGACCAAAATCCATCGGCGAGCTTCCGAACGAGAAAAAATGAAATAACCCGAACATATCAGAAAACTTGCTCGTAGAGGTTATCCGACCTGCTGATTTCGAAACTCACATCTGCTTAGCAAGATAGCTTCGTACTCTAGGGCTATGGCGAGTAGAATTTGGGACACACGACAAGATTTTTCCACAATTCACCAGCCCTTCTATTTCCTTTGAAAAAAAAAATCTGCGGCTACTATTTAGCGCATCATAATCTACAGAAAAAGTGCTATCGAAAGATCCTTGCTGGAATTTAATCGGGACAATGCTCGCTGCTCTACCTTACCTTCGCGAAAAGACGTCCGCAGAAAGGTTCAAAAATACCGAAATCGAAATATCAAGCACATGCTGTATATCAGAAGATTCGCCTTGATGAGCTGAGCACAGCATTGTTTTTGGATTCAAAATATTAGGTTGGCCCGAAAGTTCTTTCGCACCAAATTGAAAAATTCATAACTTCTGATTTTTCCAACCGATTGGACTGTTTTTATTTTTTTATTGAAGAGTAAGTCATGCTCTTTATAATGACATCTCAGCTGTTTAGCAATGGTCATCTGTTGCATAGATAGGAGCGATAGAAGAAAATTGGTCAAAATTCGAATTTTTCGTGTACGGTCATAAAAAATCGGAAACTTGCAGCAAAAATCGGAGCAATCAGTATTGTAGGTTCTTTCACCAGCTCTTTCTAACGGCGCAAAGTTTGCGCCGATTGAGCGTCTCTATGAAAAGTTATGATTTCTCTGAAAAATGCCCAAATAAATCAAATTCGCCCTTTTGTATTGCTTGCTCAAAAATTGTAACTTTTCATAGAGACGCTCAATCGGCGCAAACTTAGCACAGTTAGAAAGAGCAGGTAACAGAACTTATAATACTGACTGATCCGATTTTTGTTGCAAGTTTCCGATTTTTTGTGACCGTACACGAAAAATTCGAATTTTGACCAATTTACTTCAATCGCTCCTATCTATGCAACAGATGATCATTAGTAAGCATCTGAGATATCTTTATAAAGAGCATGACTTACTCTTCAATATAAGAATAAAAGCAGTCCAATCGGTTGGAAAAATTAGAAGTTATGAATTTTTAAATTTGGTGCGAAAGAACTTTCGGGCCAACCTAATATACTTATTCCGAAGGAAGTTATGGCAAGTACAATTTAAAAATGCGTGGTTTTTCCAGAATTCACCAACGATTTTATTTCCTTTGAAAAGAAGTCTGAGCCTATTTTTAGCACACAATAATCTACAAAGACAGTATTATCGAAAGTGCTTAATAAGTCTTCTATGTTGGATAAACGCTGCTTCGCGTTTCATTTCGCGAAAGGACCTCCGCAGAAGAATTTGAGAAAACTGGAAACGGGATATCGAAGACATCGTACCCTCACTTTCAATATATCAGAAAATTCTCCGCGCCGAGCTGAATCGAATGGTGGCTTTGGATTCAGAATTCGTCTACTCTGAAGCCCATACATGTAAGGGACATGTAGCATAACTCGAGCGGTATTGTATGTACGAAAGTTTTGCAGGGCTAGCTATCGGCCGTCCACAATTTTCTGTCATCATACTCGATCGCAAAATTTGAAAGACCAAATTTGAAAGCTTCGTTCTCGGTGGCTAGCTTATGAAAAGCTACGCTTTGACATCTTTCGTGGAGCACAGAGCTTCTACTATTTTGTGATAACCAAATGATAAATTTAGGCTTACGGTTAAAAAAGTTGTGGAAATTCGTTAAATACGCAAATACTTTTGCGCCAACCTAGTATACCTAATGCATACAGGGTGTCCGTAAAGTATGTATGCACTGTTTTATCGTTAATATTTCTTTTCCCAAGTAGTCTTTTGCCTTGCTTCAGGTACCAATCTGTAAAGCTGGCTTCAACTTAGATTTGCATAATAGAACGAGTCACCCATTCCTCTTCATTACTGTAGGATTACGGTAGAAACTTCAAAGAGGGTTTTGAGCCATAAAAGGCCATATTTAGCCTTATAAGGAATTAAAACAGCCCAAAAACTTTCACACTAGGCTAATTAGAGTTGCTGATTCTAACTATAAGTTCCCAACTTATTGTGATGCTTCATTGAAGAGTTATGCCAGGTAAGAGGTGGCGGCCATTTTTTCAATGTTCCTAAAAAGTGCCATTGCACCGTTTAGAAAGCTTCGTAACTTTGTGAATAGTTGAGTATTAAACTCAGAGTCCATAAAAACCCTATTACACAAGTTTTCACATTTTTTTGAAAAATTTTAAAAAACGGCAGCTTTTTCCACATTGACACCATATGTTTGAAGTTTCTACCGTAATCCTATAGTAATGAAGAGAGATGGGTGATTCGTTCTATACTGCAAATCTAAGCTGAAGCCAGCTTCACAAAATGGTACCTGAAGCAAGGCAGAAGACTTCTTGGGAAAAGAGATATTAACGATCAAACAGTGTATACATACTTTACGGACACCCTGTATATCTAATCTCTTCTGGTAAAATTTTAATTTGGTGTATAGAGTAACCTCACCTGCAAACGGGAACTCGAAACTATTACAAATTAAGTGATTACAAGAGACTAGGTTTATGGGCATGTTTGTGCAAGTTACTTTTCTTAGGTTTTATTCAGCAGCAATTCATTATTCGCAATCAGTGAATTTTCCGTTATCGGTAATTTGCAGAATGCGCATGGATTTGCGAACAGCTTTAACAAACAAACTGGCAGTTGCAAATTCTGAGCACGACCGCAATGCAAGAAGATACTGTATTGAAACGGATTCACTGTATACGAGCTGAATCTCACAATTTGTTATAAAAATCATGATTGGAGGTGCAAATGAATCACAAGATATCCTTAC